TACTTTGATATTGGATATCTTCCCTTCTCATTAATAGCTGGTAATGATTCATATTATCCTGGTCCTGGAACTTTGGCATTAGATATTAATGAGCTTTTTTAAGGTTTAGGTCTCATTGTGTATCTGATATCACTTAAAGTCGTTCCTAAATCATAAGTTCCAGGTGCTATATAATAAAGTAAATGAGTTAAAACCTGGAGTTTTGAGATTTAAGGTTCCTAGAATACCTGTGCTAGCCATTTTATCTCTACTCACACCAAATTTATATCCTTTGTTTTTTTTTAAATTCAATTAGACATCACTACCTAAATTATATTATTGAGGAGATGGACTTGGAACAACAACTTTGGTAAAATCAATTCTGCAATTTATCAATTATAATGTACTTATTGCCTTTACCAATACCTGCTGATCTTTTTTCAATCTATGATGGTAGATTGTAAAATGCTTATTAGCAACTAAAATTTTGATCAATATCATCATATACAATGTTGGATTTGCCAATTTGCCAAATCTATCGGATTTGGAGAAAGTCCATAGATTTTTTGAAGGACTAAGGTTTAATGGTGATTAACATATCTATTGACAGGTCGAAACAGTTATTGACATTATAAAATAATTATTGTAAATCAATATTAACAAAGCTTTTTATAATTCTAATATCACTTTCAATTAAAATTGAATATAAATTATAACCCAATTATATTAATTAGAATGCAAATATATTAATTAGAATGGAACAAGATTTAATAGATGATAAAATTGTAACTAAGGAAGTCAAGATATTTATATGATATAAATTATTCTAATAAACATATATTGTTAAATTAAATATAAACCAAATATAAATAAATAAGAATTACGATTAAATTATTGTCAATGGTAAACATAAGATTAATATGTATAATTATAAGATTGAATAATTTTATGATTTATGGTGTAAAATTCAAACAACCTAGGTGGTATAAATTCTGTAAATATCATCAAAGGTTGCAAGTTCTTCCTCTTTTTGTTTTCTGAGTTCCAAGTAATGTTAATAAGAATCATTGTAATCCTAAGAATATTAAAATCAATAGATACATCTTGACTAACTTAATAAGCAATAGTGATTTGCTTAAGTCTTGCATTACATTGTCTTGCAATTCCAACTCTACTAGTTAATTGATTTGTGAGTTTAATCTAGAAATAAAGATAGAATGAATACTAAATTGTCTTTTTCTCCAGCAATTTATTTATCAAAGTATTGATTTTCTAATTCAATATGTAATTTGAAATCAATATAGATCATAGAACTTCTGACTTCATCTTCTTATTCTAAATCTAATGATTTTTTAGAATGTTTTTCGATTGCATCTAATAATTTTCTAATATCCTAGATTAGATAAATATAAATATAATACACTTAAATCTTCCTCTTCTTCAGTTTATTTTTAACCACCACCATTATCTTTATTTGTTTGATTAGAATCTCCACCATCTCCATTATCATCATCATTTGTATCATCTTCATCATCATTTGTATCATCATCTTCTCCTGTTGGATGAGTTGGTTCATCATCTTATTTATGATCTTCTTCTTCTGATCCTTCTTCATTATTATCAGATTAATCTTCTGGTGTATCATCTTCAGGTTATTAATCTTCTTCTGATAATTCTCCTTATTCTTCAGATACGTCTCCTTATTCTTCTGATACAACATCATCTGATTCTTCTTCTGTATCATCTGATTCTTCTTAAGGTTATGGTTTAGGTTATGGCTTTGGTTATGGTTTTGGTTTTGATGATCCTCCTTAACCACCACCATTTGTAAATCTTATATGTAAATCATCATCAGCACCTGTTCCATCATCATTTTAAACTACTACAACAGTGTTAATAGAATCATCACATTAACTAGGAATAAGAACAACTGCACTGTCAGCTTTATCATCACCATCACCAGAAGCAATAACTGTTGTTTATTATTATTAAAGAAGAATTTTATTAGCATATTTCTTTCCTCTTGTTTGACTTAATACAGATTCTGTCAAATCTTATTCTTCACCTTCAATATCTGGTAATACATATGAACCATCATCTTTCATTTCTAATCTATCAACCATTGTTAAAAGCTTTCCTGTTTGATAGATTTACACAAATTTATGTACTCTTTATAAGAATTCTTATTTTTAGGCAGCTGTTGCATTAGAATCAAATTTATCTAATTGTTCTCTCAAAAATCTGACCAATGCCAATGCTATTTTGTAATTCTTGATGTCATGTACATAATTGTTGCTAGCTTAACATCTATGATAGATGATTTATGTACCTATTCACTTCCAATACTCCTAATCTTTAAGAATTCAATCCTTATCTTTTTTACATCCAAGAGACAAAATCGTTTGTTATTTTGATATCCCTCTATTTGCTTTAAACATCTTCATCCTTCTTTGCACATTCACTTCTTTATTCAGATGCTGAAAAACCTAGGGCATCAATAACTGATTGCTTGTTTTTCTTATGCAATTCCCAAGCTGCATCCAAGGCCTCGATATCTAATTACACATTAGTTTTCAAATCTGTCAACAGTTGTTTGACAGTATCAAGATCTGAATTTGCATGCAACGAATACATGCATAGAGCCACTATAATCAGTGTCCACTTCATTTTATTATTAATAACACAAAAACGGATTTCCCAATCATAATTGCTTTAAAAGTTCATAATATAATTGTTTAGTTCTCTCATTCAGCTGTTATGGAATCTCTAAGTTCAAAATAACAATATGATCCCCCTTCTTCCATTAAGATTGTCCATACTGAATTCCATACTATGGTATTTACAATTTAGTCCTTGGCTATTATGCTCCTGGAATAGAAATCTAATCCATATTTATTTATTTTAAACCTCTAAAGCTCCCCATATAGTTTGAATCTACTTCTTACATCCTAATACCATTTCACTCACACTCAATTCTAACTCACTAATAATATTATTGCCATCTCTTCTTAAACTATTATCTTCCTCAACTTCAACTTCAATCAATAAATCTCCTGGTTCTCCTGAATATTTACTCTATTATCTCAAAATATAAATACTGCATGACCATATCTAGATTATCTAATTATAGTCCCATTTTAAATTCCTTTTGGTAATTCTATTTCAATATCAAACTCTTTTTCAACTATTCCACTTCCTTCACATACTAAACAAGGATCTCTAACTACCTTTCCCCATCCATCACAATTATTACATTTCACTTCCATTGAACTACCTCCATCTACATAAAATAACCATCCTGAACCACCACAAGAAAAACACTTTTATCCTGATTTTCCTGGAGCACATCTACTTCCCTTACATGTCTCACATGTTTTCTATCTTCTATAAGATAATTAATGCTTTCCACCAAATACTGAATCTCTAAAACTTAATTTTAATCCCAATTTTATATCATCTCCTTTTTTCTTAGCATAATAAGCTTTCTTTTTACCATGCTTCTATTAAAAAAATAAATCAAACTCACTAAAAATCGTTTCATATTCAGCTTAATGAAATTTTGAATAATATTTCCCTTTTGACTATTTTCTCCTAACTTTTTACTAATAACCATTTGCATTCCCTCTTAATTCCTCTTCAAAATCTTATTCGTTATCCTCTTATACTCCACAAGTGTCATACATTCTTTTCTTATTCTAAACTAAATAATAATATTACTTCATCAGATAGAATCTCATAAGCATTATTTACTTAAGTAAACATTTTAGCAGCATCTTTTGCATTGTTTTTATCTGGATGATAAAGCTAAGCCAATTTATAATAAGCTTATTTTATCTCTTGAATTGATGCTCCCTTATTTANTGAAAAACCTAGGGCATCAATAACTGATTGCTTGTTTTTCTTATGCAATTCCCAAGCTGCATCCAAGGCCTCGATATCTAATTACACATTAGTTTTCAAATCTGTCAACAGTTGTTTGACAGTATCAAGATCTGAATTTGCATGCAACGAATACATGCATAGAGCCACTATAATCAGTGTCCACTTCATTTTATTATTAATAACACAAAAACGGATTTCCCAATCATAATTGCTTTAAAAGTTCATAATATAATTGTTTAGTTCTCTCATTCAGCTGTTATGGAATCTCTAAGTTCAAAATAACAATATGATCCCCCTTCTTCCATTAAGATTGTCCATACTGAATTCCATACTATGGTATTTACAATTTAGTCCTTGGCTATTATGCTCCTGGAATAGAAATCTAATCCATATTTATTTATTTTAAACCTCTAAAGCTCCCCATATAGTTTGAATCTACTTCTTACATCCTAATACCATTTCACTCACACTCAATTCTAACTCACTAATAATATTATTGCCATCTCTTCTTAAACTATTATCTTCCTCAACTTCAACTTCAATCAATAAATCTCCTGGTTCTCCTGAATATTTACTCTATTATCTCAAAATATAAATACTGCATGACCATATCTAGATTATCTAATTATAGTCCCATTTTAAATTCCTTTTGGTAATTCTATTTCAATATCAAACTCTTTTTCAACTATTCCACTTCCTTCACATACTAAACAAGGATCTCTAACTACCTTTCCCCATCCATCACAATTATTACATTTCACTTCCATTGAACTACCTCCATCTACATAAAATAACCATCCTGAACCACCACAAGAAAAACACTTTTATCCTGATTTTCCTGGAGCACATCTACTTCCCTTACATGTCTCACATGTTTTCTATCTTCTATAAGATAATTAATGCTTTCCACCAAATACTGAATCTCTAAAACTTAATTTTAATCCCAATTTTATATCATCTCCTTTTTTCTTAGCATAATAAGCTTTCTTTTTACCATGCTTCTATTAAAAAAATAAATCAAACTCACTAAAAATCGTTTCATATTCAGCTTAATGAAATTTTGAATAATATTTCCCTTTTGACTATTTTCTCCTAACTTTTTACTAATAACCATTTGCATTCCCTCTTAATTCCTCTTCAAAATCTTATTCGTTATCCTCTTATACTCCACAAGTGTCATACATTCTTTTCTTATTCTAAACTAAATAATAATATTACTTCATCAGATAGAATCTCATAAGCATTATTTACTTAAGTAAACATTTTAGCAGCATCTTTTGCATTGTTTTTATCTGGATGATAAAGCTAAGCCAATTTATAATAAGCTTATTTTATCTCTTGAATTGATGCTCCCTTATTTATTCCCAAAACTTTGTAAGGATTTGCAATAGTTGAAAATGTATAAATTAAGTTTTTAATCATTGATAATTATTTAATAACATCATTTATTATTTAATCACATTATTTATGAATGTTATGCTGATACAAGTTCCTCTTTATTGGCAATTATACTCATATCTTATTTAATAATTAGATGCTAAGTTTTAGGTCCTACAAATCTAGATTAGAAATTAGGATTTTATGAACCATGCATTTACGAATTCTATGTTTCATTTAATCTTGTTTTAGAACCTATAAATCTCGTTTAATTTAAAGGTTATCTAAAATATTATTAATTACTTTAAGTATTAGTATTGAATTATGTTTAGGAAGGTATTGTTTAGTAATTATGATTAAATTGATTATTATAAAGCTGTTATTCAAAAGATGTATTAACTTCTTGAGGTTTATATTATGTTTAAATTTCTTGTTATTCTATAGGCGACTAAGTTTAAATAACTTATTAAATTTTTGGAGCATTTAAGAATACTGTTTTTGCCTGTGATTTATTCATATAATAGTTGTTAGTTTCTAGATGAGTTTCTTCTTGATAAATTTTATTTTTAGGTTTATATTTTTTCCTCAAAAGATTAGAAATTTACACATCAATTTATGAAGTAAATGGCATAACTTTTTGGAGTTACTGAATTTACTGTTAAATTTTTTTAGTTTCTTATTACTCTTTCAATAAATATTCAACTTCATTAAAATCATCAATATGTGGTGGCCAATAATCATAAACATTTGGTGCTCTACCACCATGTCTTTATTCTAATTATTTTGGTTTAATGTAATTGAACATCAATGAAAAATCATTATTAACAAATTCAATCTTATGTCTAGAATTGTAGGGTATAAATTATTCAACAATTTACCAAGTAATTTAAATAGATGTCTATGGTTGTAATATAAACATTCGCTCTAAGTAACAAGGGAAATTGTGTTTAAGCATATCAAAAATCGTATTTAAATGCTATCAAATAGATAAGGATCAGTACAGTAAAAGGAACAGAAAATGCTGTTGTATTCTTAGCTTCAACAATAACAAACCAACTCTCAACTTTCCCAGACACTAACATATAATCTTTAACAACCATGAGAACTATTGATATTGCTCTCATGATATCTTCTATGGGATATATGTTAATGTCGAACTTATCAGCATTTATCACCAGAATTGGTCTAAAACCTTGTCCTCGTCCACTAATATATACTGCTCCTTATTTCTTGTACATTATTAAATAGAAAATACTATCATTTCTTCTGTGTTCAGTGACCACTTAAAATTATTAGCATCTGAAAGCCATTATTAATGAAGTCGCATATGCTATCCTATTAATTTTTATTCTTACTTTTATTGCTTCTGGAAAATCAAAATGATTCGCATACAAGAATCTTAATATCAATTCATCTGTCAAAAGATCATTCTCCTCTTCAATCTCCTTCTTAAATGCATCTAGTTATTACTTCTCGTAAATGTCATAATCATGTTTACTATTATCTTCAATTCCAAAGATTTTTCTTATAGCATTTTTTCCAGTTCCCCTTTTAATATCACTTCCTTTAAAATATCAAATTTTTGATACTTTCCAATTTAATCGAATCCTTCTGTGATTGTTACAATCGTAATCTATCAAGATTATATTGACTATAAATTTTATTCATTCCAAAATTTGAAATTTTTACAAATGAAATATTATTATCAATTTAAAGCTATCATTTCAGGAGCAAAAGCAGTCGGTAAAAAAACTATCCTAAAATTATTGGATTCTAAAACTGATCTCAAAACAATTTAATTACATGATAAAATGCAAGAAACACTCTTAATCTATGAATTCTAAAAGGATGAATCTTACATACCAGATGCACTTTGCTTCTTAATTGTATGTGATTAGTCATCATAATCAATTCAATTTGCCAAATCTAAGTATATTTTTTATCTATCTACATAGAATTCAAATAATACTTAAATAACTGAATTGTTCTTATTAATTTCTTGTACTCATTAATAACAAATTAGATTCCCAATAACATCTTTAAGATGAATTAGAAAGTTATTGTGCATAAATTAAATCAATTTCATTGCAACTAGTGCCAAATTAGGAACTAATATCGTTCTCCTTCAAAATCTTCTCAGAATTAAAGCTTAATTGATTATGAAAAAGTGTCAAATCTTACCTTTCCCTCTATAATCCAATAGAGAACTAGAATCTGAAAGCATCAATCATTAAATTAAATAAACTACACCTGATAGAACATTACCATAAACACTTTTATCTTCTCAAAATAAAGAAAACTAATCAGATTACAAAAGTATTAAGTGTAAAACAGTTGAAAGTTTTCAAGCATTTGAATTAATTGAAGATAAATCAAATTATCAAAATGACATCAATAATATTCTTACATTAATTACCTCATATTAGAAGTCCTAAATATAAAATTCACAATTATTACCTAATACAAAAAGAACATATCTTGATTTAAATAATAGTTGTAGATCACCATCACCTATTTCAAAAAACTTATGTGTTTATAAATTGAATACAATCAGTAAATTTTTATAAAATTATCTTAGCTAGATATTTAAGATCGATATTTATTCATATAATTTGATAATTGATAGGATTTGTTAAACTATGTAAAAGAATGTATAACAAACAAACAAGATATTATTGATGCTCCTCATTGAAACTCATGTTAATTCATTTATGCAAAAATTGTCTCAATAATTTTAAGAAAAAAAATGTAAAATTAATTCTTTTTATCATTAAGATTTGAGAGTTAAGGAATGTTACAAGAAATTTATTTCTTTACATAATCAGCAAATTCCTTAATCCAGACCTAATATTGGAATAATAGTCCTTTTAATACAATAGAAGATTATTAAAATTCCAGTTTATGAAAATGATGAAGCATATGATTAAGCATTTAATTCTATAGTTTAATACAAATTGAAAAAGAGTTGCATAAATGCTTTAGTTTAAAAAATTAAATTATTATAAGCATCAAAGAATATCTTAATTTTAGGATTTTTTGATACAACACCTCACGAATTTATAGCATTTCAAGGAGAAAACATTTAGAAGTAAACTAATAAATTATTTTAATTAGAAAATTATTTCAATTTTTTATGTAATTTAAATTGGATTATGAATATTATAGGCTTCTCTAATAATTATAATGACAAACTTAATATAAAAATATAATCGTTAATGAATCATCGACATAAAACTGAACTTTCAGATAGGCATCTAAACTATGATATCAATTATGATAGCATCATCATAGAAAATGACTAAGAATAAAAAAATAAAAATCCACAAGCTCTTTTAAGTCTTGAATTTTATGGAAAATCAAATCCAAATCAATCTACTAAATTGTTCAACAACTTCAAACATGCTTAGAGAATTAATCATTAATCTCTTAAAAAAACATAAGCAATTTAAAGTCCAACCTTTAATTAAAAAATTTAGAGTCCAACCTTTAATTCTAAGTAAAACCAAACAATCCCATAATCTCCTACTAGCTTTTTAATTAAGTCATATAATTTGAAATTAAATTCTCATACTACCTCTAAACCGAGTTTGCATACACCTAGTACAAGAACTCAAGGGAGCTAGTTAGAATCATAAACTCCTTTTGATATTAAGACTTAAATAACAAAAATAAAGTTAATATTAAGTTCTAATAATCCTAAAAAGTATCAACTAGACTTTAGTAAATTTAAAAAATCCATATATTGAATATAGTTATAGTAAATTATCATTTCTTTTTATAAGTATTCAAAATTTATTTAGAATAATTTATCTTACTTATTAAGTCATCTAACCTCTTATTTTTGAACCATCCATCTTAATCCTAACATTCTTAACATTGATTTTAGAAACATTTCTCACAATAAGAATGACCACATGGATAACAAGTATTTGTCTTTTATAAAATTTCCATACAATTATTGCAAGTAATAGATGTGATTTATGCATCTAAAGCAAGAGCAATATTTTGCAATTAACTCTAAAATTCTTTCTCTTTCTAATCTAATTAAAATTATAAACCCCTCATTTTTTCGGGATTCTAAAAATAATTAATTTTAAATAATTACAAGCATTTCTAATTCTTCTTCTGCTTTTTTCAATTTCTAAGTTAAATTTTTTACATCCAAACTTAATTTATATGTTATATCTTAGTTCTCTAAATATATTAATTTAATATTAAATACAATTTAATTCTTTTTAAAGATTTCCATTCTTCATATTCAATTATTATAAGTTTTCCATTTATTCATAAACCTATTAAGCAAGGTTCCTATTCTCTTTATTAGCAACAGTGAGATCATTTCCTAATTAATCAATGGAAATTTTCTAGGTCTTACTTTCCTTTATCATTTGATCTAAATCTATTAATGCTTAATCTAATTTAATTTTAAGAGAAAACATTTATTCACTAGAGCTAGATATTTATGAATTTTAATCATTCAAAGCTTAATCTTTATCTTAGATTTATTTAATTAGAGTTTCAATTTATTTATTTCTCTATTCAATATCTTCTATATATAATTAATTTGATTAAGTAATTTATTAAATGTTTTATTTCAGTTAATTTAAATCAGAAGTGAGTATAAACTCAACAGGTTTTGTAAATTATTTATATGTCATAATTAATCCATCAAATTCGTTATATTTTTATAAATCTTATTAAATTACTTTCATTTATTATAATAAATTTTGTTCATTCTCACTTTTCTGTTTTAATTGTGTTTACAAACTTTTCATAACCTATTCATTATTATGAGATGTTGATTTAATAGTTTAAAAAGTCTTTAATTCATCTTCAAAATAAGATGCTTTTTAAGCTATTTCTTTATTTTATTATTAGAATTATGTAATTTAACTTCTTACACTAGTAATTTCTTATTAACATTATTATAACTTTTCATTCAATTTTATTGTTTCTTATTAAGCTTATTCAAGTTTTTCATTCTTTAATTTGTAATCAGATTAAAGTTTTTGATGATCCTTGATTAATTGGATAAAATTAATATTTCCAAAAGTCTATAAGACTGCCTAATACTATTCAATAATGGACATATTATCATTAACAAAATTAGTTAGATTTTGATTTTCATCAATAATAATTTAATATTATTTTTGAGATTCCAGTAATTGTCTTTGTAATTATAAAATGACTTAATTTTATTAGCCATCCTATTAATTTCTAGTTTATAACATAGTATTTTGATTACTGAGTTAATCCTATAATTATTTAATTTGGGATAGTAATTCTTGTATTTCTTATTATTGTTTAGCAATTTTCAAAAGTGATACCTATTAATTTATTATAATTAAAATACATTTTCTTCACTTTTGAGATGTTTAATAGTTCCTTAAGCTGCAATATTATCTAATTTAAGATTTTCAATGAGACTATTGAGTTAGGTATGATTTTTGAATGCAATTTATAGATTTAATTCTTTATCAGCATTAGATTTCTAAATAATGATTGAATTTTATAATTACTTCTAAATAAACAATTTATTCTTTTAATGTTTAAATTGTTTATTGTAATTTTTCATTTTCTTTTGATAAAGATGGCAATAAAGATAGATCCATTTATAAAGAAGAAATGGTTGATGACATTTATCGAATTTCATTTTCTTTTCTGTTAATGATTGCTTCTAGTTAAATAATTTAATTTTTCAAATTATTAATTTCAACATTTAATTTTTGATTGGTTTTCCTTTCATCTAATAATTATTCATGATATTATTAAAACTCCTTTAACTTTCTTTAATTTTCACTTAACTTGTATTGATTATCTTTATCTTATTATTATAATTATTAGTTGATTTCTCTTAATTTAATAACTTCTTCACGAACTCCCATGTTCTCTTACTTTTCAGTCTTTAACAAAGCAGATAAAGATTCAAAATTCCTTTGAATACTGAAGATAGTTTGATTTCTTGTTTCTACATCTTTTTATAATTCTTCACATTTCTTTTTCCAATCTTCTTAAATTTCTTCTTGAGGTAGAGATTATTAAAATTAAACAGTTTTTTTCTTTGTAGTAATGAAATTGTAATTTTCAACTTGTTATTTCTGTTGAATTTAAGGTAATTAAACTCTTTAATTTCCTCTTGACATTTATTATTTATAAAATTGATAAAATAATCAGGATTAAATAAATCTGCTAGCTCCAGGGATATTAATAAGTATTGATTTAGGTAATGCAAAAGCAGGATCAATAGGATTTAATTAATATTTATCACCATTAAGTAATGATAATGCTGCTAATCCAAAGAATGTATGAAAAACATCAGATTAATTATTTGGTCTATCAGCAATTCCACCATCACTATCTTAACACTAAAAATGAGATTATGAAATTTAAACCTCAAGTATATAATTTTCTAAAGCTTATTAATTTATCCATTATTCTCTTTTCAATAAACATAATGCACTATACATCCACCAAGAATAACATACATCAGCCAATTTTTCAGGTCTTCCATTCAATCTTAATATATACTATATAATTATACCCTCCTTTACTAGTTTATCTCTCATGAATCCACATTGCTAATTCATCAATATTAAACGATAGATCTTCACATAAATAAAGGGTTCCAACACAACAAAATACATATGCTCCATGAGATTCTGCATCTGGACTAATAAATATACATTTTATTATATATACATTCCTCCAAAAGATCCATCAAAATTTCTACATTTCTTTATGTAATTTGCTGCTTTTTTAACATCTATTAAATCCCTTTTATTTAATAATGTTAATGAAGATAAACCACAATATGAAAATCTAGCATCTACTTCTCCCCACTATAAATTAATTTAATAATTAGTTTACTTTATCTCCTTCAAATGATCCATCCTTTCTTTATCTTGCAGCTACATATTTTGCTGCTTCTTCATAATTTAATTCACATCCCAATAAAAAACTTAATAAAATTGCATAATGTGTATTTGTTATATGAGAATCATGATTTGTATTACCACCAAATCCTCCATCCTCATTTTAACATTATTTAAGCCATTATGATAATTATTGCTTCTTCTCCTCACTTATTTAATCAATTTTATTTAAACAAGCTATTGCATTTATTGTCCAATATCCACCTGCCACTTTTAAGTGTTCTGATAGATAATGACCTATCGATTCAAGATCTTTCGACTTATCTAAAGCCATTAAATAAGGCAAATGATTAACAAGTTATTACTAAAACATCGTAATTAATCAAATTTTTATTAATTAAAAATAATTATACTATATTTTTTTATTTATATTATTTTGATAACAGTATTTTTCATTCATACCTTTCATATTTAATTTATTTACTTTAAATATTAAATCAAATTTCATACATTAGATTCTACTACAAAAATTATGTAAAATATTTATTTATTATTAATTTATTTCTGAAGGCCAAATTTCTTACAAAAAAAATTATTACAAGAGTTTTTTTTATTAAATAGTATTTCTTAAAAATTCAATCACAACCATTAAGTAATATTTTAGAGATTGATCATTAAAATTCCTGCATTATTTTATATTATCCATTATTAATAAAATACAATTAAAAATTTCTTTGAAATCTAAATATCAACTTTTATTGTATTTAACATTTTTTAGTATTTTCTACATCCTTCAAGTTTATTATTAAAAATTTAATTTTTATTTTAGTTTAGATATTTATGGGTTTGTGCTTATCTAGAAAACTATAGATAAATAAAAACTAAAGCTCGGCCAATAAAAATTTGGAAAAAACTTTTTAAAATACAAAGTTTTATTAGGAAAAATACATGAAGGAAGTTTTTGATTTTGAAAAATAGTCTGATATGAAAATGACAAATATCAAAACCTCATAGGTACTTTTTTAAAATGATTGTGATAAGTCAACTGATGCAGCGCTAAATAACTCTTTTTTAAGAAGGAAGGCCCTATCAAAAAGTAGAATAGGTGTTTCAACAAATAGAAAAGGAGCAATTCCTATTCTTAACACAAAATAAATTAGTTATAAAGATTCATTTAAATAAAAATATCATAAAGTCATAGGACTATTATTGTGTAATTTAATTAATAATTGTAGCTCATTAAAATTTGAGTGTCGTATAGAATAATTAGAATTAGCAATTAGCTATTTGTTAATAGTTTAAAAAAAACGATGAAAAGGACTAAAATTTTATAAAGTGGTTGAAAGAAAAAAACATCGTAAATGTTATTTTTTATGTACTAGGAACACGATAATATTGTAGGTGTTTAAGAAATATAAGTAGATGATTAAGATTATTATGTAATTTATGAATACTGGATTGATTCATCATTAAAAAATAAAACTGAATTTCAAAAAGCAATTTTAATTTATTAAATGATTGAATCAATTCAGTATTTACATGAAAATGACATGAGACATGGTGCTTTAACTTTAAATAGTTTTAAAATGATCAATAATAATGCTTTTGGAGTATTAAAATTAATAGAATTAAATAAAGTGCATGATTTTTCAGAGTTTCCGATTGAAAGTTGGACAAATCTATCCCCAGAGAGTCTTTCTGCTCTTGGGAATAGATCCAAAGCAAGAGATATTTGGGCTTTAGGAGTCATTGCATTAGAATTGTTAATGAATGAACATCCATTTATAAAAAATAGTTAAGATAGTTCAATTCGTAGAATAACAACTATAATAAATAATTTAAATAAATAAAAAATTGACTAAATATTAAACAATGTGGATAAAGATTTAAAATAGTTAATCTCTGGGATGATTTGTCTAGATCCCCAAATTAGATTTTCAATAAATGAATGTAAAACTAACATTTGGATCAATAAACAAATAAATGATTATATATCATCTTTGCTATAGCCCTTATATAATTTTGATTAACATAAAAATAATAGCAAAGCAAAAATAATGGTTAGATATTACCTTGTTAGACATTTAGATCTAAAATAGTTTAACAATCTTTTTATTTTATTTCAACAAATAGATTTAAACAAAAATGGAATTATCACTGTAACTGATATAAGGAATTATTATAACTCCATATATTTGCCATAATAATGCAAAGATGATTTAATAAATTGTTTATATTCGTTACCTAAAACCATCGAACTTCATATTATAGAGTTTATTGGTTTGACAAGCATTTTAACTTATCCTAAACTAAAACAATATTATTATATTCATAACCTTGAACATATTAAATTGAATAGTTATCTTAATTAAATAAATATTTCTAAAAGAGTAATGAATTTAATTACTTCTGATTTCACTTAATCAGAATTAGAGGAGATTATAACTCTTGATTAATTTATTTAATATATTATTTGATATAATTAGATATATTCAATTTCTCTACTTATTTAAATCAAAATTTGATGTTTGATCGAAACTTTAAAGTTTTGAGTGTTATCCCTTAGGACTTATCACACATTCTAAACTTTTAAAGAGTGGAATTTGCTTTACTTTAAATTTTTTAAGACTGGTTTCCATCTCATTTATTTATAGATTTTTCTACTTCAGGATTAGTAAAGAATATAATAATATCAATATTAAAATGATTCCACAAACAATGAATCCTAGAACTATTTTCATTTAATTAGATTTATGAATCAATAATTCTACTTAAAACTCGATCTTTTTCTTATGAATTGTTTTATTGATTTCATTAAAAGTTAATGAGTAATCTAATTAATATGGAATCTCTTCATCTAAATGATAAAAACATTAAACATAATTAGGAATCGGTTCAAATTGATATTAAAAGATATCAAATGTACTTATTCCTATTATTTTGGTACCAATCATAGAAATATCTTTGATTCCAAATTTTAAGATCTTATAAATTTTATTTTCATAAAGTAGATCTATTTTATTATTTGTGACAAATAAAGTATAATCCTTGAAAGCAATAATTTTTTAAACTTTTTTCTTGCTTTGTAATTTCCGAACAATTTGTAATTGCGAATCAATGATTTAATATTGAGCTATAATATATTTATATTATCTTTTGTATGCTACAAATATATTGTTTTCATTCCAGATACCCAAAGTTACCCCATTTTATATTAAATCAAGCTAATTTAGATTGTGAGTTGATTAATTCCATTCTACTTTTAATAATCCTGTTTATTAATCCAAAATATATATGTTATAACCACTTTGGTTATTATTAATGACAGTAAATTTAGAAATGTTTATTGAATTGTCTATCTAAAATTAGTAAACCAAATTACTATTGTTGTAAATAGTTATTTATCCTTAATTTAGTACAAATATGAATTAATCACATATTTCTATTTATTAAGGTTAATAATCTAGGAACATTTCGAATTCTTAGGAATTCTTATCATAAGGGTTGAATCGATAAACATAATTTGATATTAGATATACTAGGTATGTTACATGACAATATCTCATTGATACATTTTAGATGTCTATATTGGAAGGAATCTCATATTGCCAAAATAGGATTTGATCTTGAAAATAGTTTATATATCGATCATCAGTCAATACTAAAATGGAATGTTAGGAGATTGATAACATAGCTAAGTTATTTTTGCTGCTATTATCATATTAAGTATATTGTAAATTTAATTAATAGTCTTGTACTTGGCATATATTCCATTCATCATTGCTTGTTTATAACTAGAAATCCTATCCATTTATAGGCAAGGCAAATAAGGTTTTTAACTCATCTTTTTTTATTGTAAATAATTCTGCTAATGCCAATTAAAATATTAAAACAATATACATTTATATAGACATTTTTTATAAATTTATTAAAAATCAATTTATAATCTCAAGTTTTTAGCTTCATTAAATATATTTTTATTTTATCAACAACATTTTTATACAAGATATAAGCTATTGTAATTTATTTTATGAATAGTAAATAAAATTTTTATTTAAATTAGGAACTTTCTAATTTAATTTTACTTTAATTGCTTATCTAAAATTCCTTTTTGTATTTAAAATCTAATGAACATGATGTTAAAATAAATCCAGATATAAATAATGATACAATTCTAGATAGTTGTTAATCACATAATTTCAATATTGATTTTGAATGACTTACTTAAAATTCATTTACTTTTCAAATATCATACTCTGTAAATCAATCTGGAATATATGATGGAATAAAAATTGGATAAAAAGTATAGTAAAAAGTTTTTATCTTTGGTATTCAGATTTATTATAAATTTGAATACTTCTATATGTAACTATAAAATATAAATCTACTCAAGGTAATTTCTTGATGGTAAAGTTTACTATCAATATTATATTTAAATAATAGCTAATTATCTAAATAAGTTAGCCATATATTATCAAATTAATACTAAGATAAATTTAATGGAATGATACTAGTAAGTGATTTGAAAATTCATTTAGAAATGAACCCAATACAATAAGAAAATATGAAAGTATTCTTAAAGTGAGGATTCATTATGAAGTTCAGTGATGCAGAATCTCAAACAATCTAATCTAATTTATTCTTATTGAAAACTCTTTTACATTGTAATGTGATACTTTTAATAACAGAAATTAAAGAATGATATATAACATAATTTATTTATAAGAAAAAGAAGATAATAATAGAAATTAAAATAAATTGATTTTTATGGGGTGTTGTTTAATATTAAGATAATAGTTTTAAGATTCATGCATGTGTAATTGTTATCTTTTGATAATTATGTTTATTTAGAAAGATATATTTAGAGACCAGAAAATATTCTTATTATAAAAAATAACATGAACTAATAAAAACTGATAGATTTAGAATTAAATTAGATGATATATTTCAAATAAATATTAACTTTATGGTACACTTTTGATTATATGATTAATGAAATATTTTAAAAGACTTACACATCTGTTTTTCAGCTTAGATCTATTTTTAGTTTATAGAAAATGATTTAACAAGAGTAAGAATTTTAGTAAAAATATATATATATTTTTGGAATTGATTTACTGTAAAATTAAGATTCTATTGAGTTATGAAAATTCAATATAGTTTAAAGGTTATAGTATTAATTTTAATCAAACAAAAATATTTTCCCAAAAATAAAGAATAAAACTTTTAAAAAAATACTTTATGTTGAGAATCTTGATAAGGGATTTAGAAGTAGTGAGGCTTTAGACATTTTGAAATAATGAATAAGAATAGTGATTGATTGTTGAGAATTAATACAGACATATTGATTTTATAGATATAAATAACTATAATTAACTATTTTGTAAGGATAAGTGAAATCTTTACTTTGTTAAGAGGTAGAGGGATATAGATAATAATAAATTAATATAATTAGTTCTTACAAAATGTGATTAATTTAAATAAGTTATGCAAATACATTTTTGCACTCCTTAATATTTCTTCAACATATCTCAAAAATTTCCTTTTATAGTTTATGATTTAAGAGAACATTAACATGGTTATTTGAAAAATAGTATTCATGTAACTAATATACACCAGGTGGAGACAGTTGAAGATGTGAAAAAACATTTTGAGTACCCTGAATAATAATCTGAATAGAAGAAGTTGGAAAAATTATTTGTAAGTAGAAAGAGAAATTACAATTTTTTTGTTCCATTTGATACTTCTGATATATTCAGTTTATTATTGAAGGATAGGGTAAAGGGAGAAGGATCTGAAATTTCTGATTAATTTAGTATACCTTTCGAAAATGTCACAAAGTGGTGGCATGAGATAACAAAGAAATTGCCATACAGAAAGAACCATAAAATTAGAAGTAGAGCATATACAATGGTAATATAAGATGATGATGATGAATTAGTTGATACAAATTCTCAATAAACTATACTTCATTTAAAAAAACATCATACTATAGTTTCAAGTAAAAAGGTCGTAGAATTACAAGGTAATTCTATAAATATAAATGAAAGAAATAACAATATCTAATGGTCCAAAATTAAAATAGCGTTCTGCTAGTTAACCAAAATGCGTTGGACTTGGATAAGGCAATTTGTATATGAATTCAGAATTATTTGGAGCGACGTTAAAGATCTATGAGATTTTTTAGAAGGAAAAGATTAGATAATTGTTTATATTATTGGATCCAATATAAATAGTTTTTGGGAATCATCAATTTTTAAATTATGAGATAATTAAAAATAGAGGGTTTTTGGATAAGACATTTCCTAATGAGATAATAGAGAATAAATTATATTTGGGAGGAGGAGATCATGCAAAAGATACTGAAATGCTTATAGATATATTAGGGATTACTCATGTAGTAAATGCAACGATTGAGATATAGAATTATAGTGATTAATGTAAAAATAATGGTATTGTTAATAATAGTACAGTATTTAAATATAAAGATATACGATGAGCCATAGATAGATGTAAAATAATATTTTGAGGAAGTATATTAGTATATAGAGAATGCATTAATTGGGAATGGGAAAGTAAGATTATGAATAAAATAGGTATTTGTGCATTGTGCATAGGGAAAATCAAGATCAGCTTGTTTTATCGTAATGTATTTAATGAGAAAATTTAATTGGGGATTTGAGAAAGCATATGAATTTGTAAAGGAATGTCGAGAGATAGTTTGTATAAATGAGGGATTCATAAACTAGTTAATAGATTTGAATTGAATTGAATATTGTGCTGTTATTTATGATGTTATGATTTGTCATTAAATAATGGACTTAACTTTAGCTATAATACCTGCAGCATCTAGATGATACAATGATAACATTTATGCTGGAGTACCACTCTTAGCAATTTTGTCTACATGAATGGAGTGTATCTTAACTTCATTATTAAGACTTAATGAAGAGGATACAGCTTCTAAAAAATATGTTAATAAAATGATTACCATAGAGGCCTCCTTCTTAATAATGATCTTCAACAACAAGAATAGTCTTTAAGGCAGTTTTGTTGGCAGCATTGATGATACCATCATGATCAATAGGTTTAACTGAGAATAAGTCCAATACTGTAACATGAATGTTGTCTTATTCACTCAATTATTTAGCTGCTTTAAATATTTCATGTGTGGTAACACCTCCTCCAATAAGTAAGATCTTATCATCATTATTTTATTTTAATATTTTGGATCTAGAGAGAATTTAGATATTATATATTACTTTCCTATTTGAAATACTTCGTCATTTGAATATAAGATAGGTAATGATGGTCTACTCATTCTAACATAACAAGCAGATTTTTAATTAGCAACTAATTCAATTGCTCTTTCTGCAGATACACCATCAGATGGATATAATACAACACAATTAGGAATAGTTCTAAACATCGCAATATCTTCGAGACCCATTTATGATGGTCCATCTTCTCCAATAGATACACCAGCATGTGATCCAACATATTTTACTTAAGATCCACTAACTCCTCCCATTCTTATTTAATCAAAACCTCTTGCAAAAAATGCAGCAAATGTAGATGCAAATGCTACTTTACCTCTGCAACTAAATCCTTATGCCCAACCTACCATATTTTATTCAGCTATAAAACATTCTACAAAGTTTGTTGGAACTGCTTCTTTATATTTGATTGAGAATGTTGAATTTTTAGTATCACCATCAACAGCTACTATTTATTAGTTAGCATCTGTTTTACTCAATCCTACTAAAGCTTTTCCATATGCTTCTCTTGTTGATTATTTTGCATCAGGACCATAATTAACTTCCAAAGTAAAATGACTTTATTAAGGTTTTTCAATTTAAACTGGAACCTCAGGAGTTAATGTGAATCCTCCTTACTACTTCATTTACTTTTTAACAAACTCTACTTAGGCTTATGGAACTGGTTTTCCATGCCAATCCTCCTTGTTCTCCATTTCTAAATATTTTCCTTTGAATGTTTTAGCAATTATAACTTGTGGCTAATTCTTAACATTTCTACACTACATACAATATTTTTGAATTGTGTTACTTATTCAAATGCATCAGTTAATTAATTTAAATTATGTCCATCAATTACTATTGTTTTCCATCCAAATGCTTCCCATCTCTTCTTATACACATTAATATCATGACCAATTGATGTCTCTTCTGATTAACCCAATCTATTAACATCAACTATTGCTGTGATATTATCTAATTTGTAATGACTTGCTAAATGTGCTGCTTCCCATACAGATCCTTCTGCTATCTCACCATCTCCCATTAAAACCCAGTATCTATTGTTTATCTTATCTAAATATTTTGATGAATAAGCCATTCCACCTGCTACTGATAATCCTTATCCTAATGATCCTGTTGCTACATCAACAAAAGGTAATCTAATTACTATATCTTTTTACTTTGGAACTGGATGTCCTTCTAAAAGTGAATCTATCTTTCTTAAATTCAATAATTCTGTCCCATCTATATAACCAGCCATTGACCAAGCTGCATATAAAATTGGAGCTGCATGTCCTTTTGATAATACAAATCTATCATTTCCAAAATTCTAAAATCTATTTTACACTTTACTCCTGGATCCTTTGGATTATAATGCATTCCTGCCTTTGTAAAAAATAACACTCCCATTATTTCTGCCATTGATGCACATGATGTTGGATGTCCAGAATTTGATGCTATTGTCATCTCTATTGAATGTATTCTCAATTAATGAGCTTTTTATATATTATTCAATTACCTATATCCTACAATTATCCTATATCATAGCTCTCCTTCTATACTTTCTATTTCTTTGTCTATTTTGGCTCCTCTTTCTATACTTAATTCTTTCCTTTTCTTGTTACTCTATCCGACATATTAAAATAATTTAATTTATCTTTATTTACTTATTCTTAATCAATTTTTATATATATATTTCTTAAATATCAATCTAATACTTATTCTTAATCCCAATCAAAAATTAGAACAAATCTATACTCTTAGATTTTATTCTAAAAAAATCTAGAAAAAATTAAAAAAAATAGAATTGAGTTCTTAATTAATTTTAAGAATAGTAATTTTAAAAATATATATAATATTTTTATTTATATATTCATATATTAGTTTTTCCTTTAACTAATTTGCGGTCAGAAAATTCTTCTTAGATAGGGAAATAATGTTAATGATTATTAATTTATTCTTATTTTTTAACTTTAGCTCTTTAAGGAAAGGGGCTTTCTCCAATTTCTAAAACAGGTTAACATAAAATAGATTAAATGGATTAAGGATTAATATTTTTTAATCCTGCAACAATAAATTCAGAAGGTTAAGTTTAATATTAAGTTTCTTAGGCTTAAACATTCTGCTCAATTTATTATTTTGGTTATGCAGAAACAATTAGTCTTTCTTTTTTAGTGTCAACTGATTTTTATTTTTAATTAGTTGATTTATCTTCATTTTTAAGTTCTTCTTTTTTATGTTATTAAATTATTTATTATCGAATAGCATCTGATGCTATTGGTTGATTATTGCTCTTGATAGATTATCTTTAATCATTTAATTTTTGTTATTCCTTTTTAAGTTCAATTTTTAGTTATTCTTGAAGCATTTTTTCTCGTTCCCTTTAACTTGGAGCACTACTTTAAATTCTAGTACTAGGAGTTGATGGAGGATCTCCTTTTTTTCTAGATGCAGAAGGATAATTTTGCTAATTATTTAAAGGAGATAGATTTTTATCTTTGATCTATCCAGGTACTTGATTTTAAAAAATGATTAAATACATGCACTATGAGCTCTTTAGTTGATTCTAGGTTATTCAACAGTTTTTTTAATAGGCTCTTCTTTGTAATTGGACTTAGGAAGTTAGATTTATTGTAATTTTATAGTTTAAAGTAATTCAGCTTTAGAAGTTGATTTTTCAATAGGGGGGGCTACCTTTAAATTATTGATAAGTAGAGGAGATTGCAGAATTTGATTACATGATAATCTTTTCATAGGTTGAACTTAAATCATTTATACAATGATAGATTATAAATCTCTGGAATATTGTTTAGGTAAACATTCAAAAAGTCCTCTTTAAATTTTATTGCATAATGTTTGTAAATCAGGAGCTTTGAATGGTAATTTGAGGGAAGCCATTTCATAGATGACACATCCTAAACTCCAAATATCACTCATAGAATTATATGCTTCATTTCTCCAGACTTCAGGACTTGCATAATAGGGAGTTCCAGTTTATGTGTAAGCTAAACCCTTTTTAGTTACTTTGGAAACATTTAAATCTCCGAGCTTGTAATTACCATTAGAAATGAATATGTTAGCAGTTTTTAAATCTCTATGAACAATTTTATTGTCATGCAATTTCTTGAGACTAAATAAAATGAAATCTTATACCCTTTGGTAATTTAAAATAAAGCTTTCCATATTTCTGTTTCAGGAAATAATTAATTACCTGTCTATTTGATTCTATACTGTAAATCACCTTATGTGGCAAACTCCATAATAATATAGAGCATATTGTCATCAATGAAGGCTTCTTTGTAATTAATAATATTGGGATCATCAAAGGATGCCAATATTCTTACTTCGTTAAGCGCATTTTCTTTTTCTTTTGGTTTCAAATCAAATAGTTTAACTTTTTTCATGGCATAAATTTGTTAATCAGATTTCCTAATGACTTTAAATACTTAACTATAGGATCCTTCACCCAAACGGTTGATAATTTCAAAATCACTAATTCTAGACATATTAATATTAGATATATTTTATTATTTATCATTCTGAACTATGTTCTATTTATTTGAACTTCCATCCTTGTTCTCCATCAAATTAAATCATGTAATCGTGATGTTTGAATAAAGAAGGTCTATGACTAACAGTGAATAGAGTGATTCCCAACATTTTAGCAGTCTAATATAAGGTGGCTTCAACATCCATTGAAACAGCACTGGTACATTCATCTTAGAATAAATAATTAATAATAAATACCTAAAATGGCGAATACTGGTTTATGATAGAATAATCTACCCATAGCAATTCTCTACTTTTCTCCACCACTTAAGACATCATTCCAATCATTACATTTATCAAATCCACCTTCCCTTACTACTAAATAATCTAAATGAACTAATCTCAACAATTCAGTTAAATCATCATCTGAGACTTTCTTTCTTAACATTTATAATTTGGTATGAGGATATATGATTTAATCTCTTAATGTTCCTGCTGGTAAATAAGGTCTCTATGGAATATAAAATAATTTATCAATATGAGGTCTATATAATCTACCACCAGATATTGGCCATAAACCTCCTAAAATTCTAAATAATGATGATTTTCCACATCCATTTGGACCAGTAACTATACAATTCATATTTGGTTAAATCTACATATTATTATAATAATACTTCAAAAGTCATCTTTTTTGCTAATACATCATTGTTAGGTGATTCAATAGGAACTTCTTCAAATTTGATAGTATTTTCTGTTTCAATTATCTATCCTCTATTCATAGAAACTAATGATTATTTCTATGCAAAATATCCTGGTTAATTTTCATTAGTTTATAACATTGTTCTCATATACTTACCATTAATTAAATCTTTTAAAACTTCATCTAATTCAGCAACCAAAGTTGTATATCCTGCTAATTATTATATTTCTTTATATGAAACAACTAATCTTCCAATAGCTTTAGCTAAATTGATCAATAAAGATGAATTTCTAACATAATCTCTTGTAATTGCTGAAGCATCATTATTTACACTTTTTAAATATTCTTCTCTTCTACTACCAAATACAGGTAAACCAACAACTGCATAACCTACCATAACTGCACCATATTTCACTAACATACTATCAAACACTCCCATATATAATCTTTTTAAAATAATCTAATTTGTATGTCCAATCAAATTATTAAATGAATTTGTAATTCTTGTTTTTTCCCAAGCATGTCCTCTATAAAAGGCTATCTCTTCACTATGATAAACCAAATCACTATGACAAGCTCTATAATCTCCTTCTAATCTTTATTCAATTGCTGTCAATTTACCAAAAGGAGGACTTAAAAATCTTAATAAAAATCCAGAAACCAAATAATATAGAATTACATACATAGGTCCCTAATATCCAACCAATTCAGCCAATTTCCTTGAAAACATTACAATATCTAAAACAGGTTTAGAAAAGTTTGAGTAAATTTAAGATAGGGAATTTGCCCATTTTTCAATATCAGCTGTTAATCTTTAATCAGGATTAGCAACTCGACTGTCTAAATTACTTAATTAATAAAAGATCATATCATTGAGATAAATATCATGGAAATGTTATGTTAATCTTTTTCTAAATCTAATTGCTAAAGATTTGTTCAAATAATCTAAAAAGGAATTCACAAATGAAGCAGGAATAGCAACAAATCCTAATTTAAAAATTCTCTTCAAAAACATATTTAAGTCCAATTCTATAATAGCTCTGACTATTTATCCATTTACATTAGCTACAAAGATACTTAAAAATGTTCTTGCAACAAGTGCTGCTCTATATTTTAGAGAGAATATCTTACGTTAATAATGATAAGTCTAAAATTTCTGGCGAGTTCAACCTTGGTATTACTATTTTGAGTAATTTCAAAATCCTTTTAAAGAACATGAGGTCAACATTACCCTTTCCTCTTTTTTCATCTCTCTTCACTTTCATATTCTCAGTCTTTGATTTCGTCAATCTTATCTTAAGTAAGTATAGAATGACTGCTATTACGGCTCCTGAAATCACCTAGTTACATTATTCATTTCTTCATACTTTTCTCTTCGTTGATTTCAACATAAACTATTTCACATCTAAGAGTTTTGAAAGCACAGGAGGCATGTATGTATAATATAATATTATAAATAAATATTTAATATGTGCTAATAATTTTATATTGTTTTAATACTTTCTTATTCTTAATATATTTCTCTAATTTTCCTAAAATTAAAAGACGCATCAAATTTCATATTATCATAATAAATTTTATACTATATATTATTTGTAATATGTATTTATAAATTATTGCAATTTCTCTCCTCCACACTCTATCCTACACTTTTGAACCAGTTTGTAATAAACTTATTCCTAAAACAATACATAATTCATTACCTACTAATTAATATATCCTTTCAGGTTAATTTCCAATTAAACCGGATTCAAATTCATATTTAGCTTTCGTATTTTATGGTTCACAATATGCCTCAAACTAAGAAGTAATATTTGATCATAATGCTACTAGCAATTAAACTATTATAAAACAATTGTATGGTTTAATGGAGGTCCAGGTACTTCTTCATAATTAGGAAATTATATAGGAATAGGACCTATTAATTTTAATGAAAAGGAAAAGTTAGAGAAGAATTAATATTCATGGAACCTTAAATATAATATACTCTTTATTGATTAACCTATAGGAGTAGGATATTCATATGCATTTACAAAAGATGAAATACCTGATAATTTGGATGAAATTGCATCTTAATTCAATTATGCATTTGTTTCTTTTTTAGATAAATGTTCACTTTCAGAATTATCTAAAGAATCTAAATGGTATTTTGCTGGTGAGAGTTATGCTGGAAAGTATATTCCTGCAATAGTTTATGCTTTGCTATAATAATAGGAACCTATAATAAACCTTTAAGGAATTATTTTAGGTAATCCTTGGACTGAACCTATAGCTATAATAAGTGAAATGAGTGCATATGCATTTAATTTAGGATTGATTGATTTATAAGAAAGATAAAAATTAGAGAAATTGTTATTAAAAACATTACATCAAATTAAAAATTAGGAATACTTAAATGTTGAGTCTAATTTATAAATCTACTTTAAAGAATTAGCATAGATGAGTGGAGGAATGAATTATTAAAATATCAAAAAGTTTGGATCCTATGAATAACATAATAAAAAATTAGAATAATATTTGAATTCTGAGATTGTTAAGAATATATTTAAATTTCCATTAGCTGTAACTTTTACTCTTGTATAAAATTAAATTGAAAAGTAAGGAGAAGTATATTAAGCATTAAAATAGAATATTGGTTAAAGTGATGTAATTCATAAATTAGAGTTTATTATTAATAAGATTCCAGTTTTAATTTATAATGGTTAAAATGATGCACTTTGTACAAATTCAGGTACTTAGAGATGGGTTAATAGAATTCATTATTAGGATTCAAATGAATTCATATAATAAAATTTTACAACAATTTAATTGAATGATAGAACTATAGGATATAAAAAGAAAGTGGGAAATTTGGGTTTAGTGATTATAAATGATGCTGGTCATTAAGTACCAAGAGATAAACCTGAAGAACTATTTACTATTGTAACAGGATTCATTGATTTATGATTAATTAATATAATAAATTATGAATGATATATGATTTCTAGAATCTAATAGAAAAATCTATTTCGAGAAAAAATCATATATTTGAGTTCAATTATATTTAATTACTTATATTCATTAAATATAATATGGAAACAGAATTTATTAATTTAATAGAAGATGGAGGAGTTAAAAAAAGAATTCTTTAAGAAGGTTAAGGAGAGATACCTATTGATGGATCAAGATGCAAAATACTATATAAAGGAACTTTAGATGATGGAACTGTATTTGATTCTTAATTAGATACAGAAAGACCTTATAAATTTAGAATTGGAAAAGAAGAATTAATTAAAGGTTTTGATATTGCATTAAAATCTATGAAAGTTGGAGAAAAAGTTGAATTAAAAATCACACCAAATTATGGTTATGGTGATGATGGAGATTCTTATAAAAATGTTCCTAAAAATGCTAATTTGACATATGAATTAGAATTAATCAATTTTAAAGAACCAAAAAAAAGAAAATGGTAATTAAATATAAATAATAGTTTAGGGAAATGAATTCAGAAGAAAAACATCAAGAAGCCCTTAATAAAAGAATTAAAGGAACAGCAGCATTTAAATTACAAAATTATAAAGAAGCTTAAAAAATTTATAAGAAAGCTCTTTCATATTGTGTTTTGACCACTGAAGAAGGCAATGAATTAAAAGCAAGCATATAACTTAATTTATCTATTTGTTGTTATTAATTAGAAGAATATAAAGATTCAATAGATTATGCTAAAAAGGCTCTTGAGTTAAATACTAATTAATAATAAAAATTAAAAGCTTTATATAGAAAAGCTCTTGCTAATATCAAAATTGCTGAACTTGAAGAAGCATTAACTGATTTAAGAGAAGCCTTTAAAATAGATTCTACTAATTCAGTTGTTATTTAAGAATTATCAAGAGTTAAATAATTATTAAAGGAAGCAAGAATGAAAGAAAAAGAAATTTATTCTAAATTATTCTAATAGAAACTTTATGACGAATCAGAAATTGAACCAAATAAAATTGAAATAAAAGAAGCTAAATCAGAAGGTTCTAGTTGTTGTGATCCTAATGAAAAAATTGAAGAAGAAACATAAACTAAAACTACTGTTGAGAATAAAGATGGGTAATTATAAGAGGAAAAAATAGAAGAAAGAGAATAAATAAAAATTGAAGAAAACAATTAAAATAATACTAAAATAGTTGAAGAAACAGTAACAAGTGTTTGATCTAATATTTCATTTTATCATCTATCATATATTTTATATTCTAGATTTTTATCATCTTTTTAATTTATTATTTTAGATAATTTAATTTTTAAAATATCTTATAGTTAATTTAATAAAACAATGATGATCCATTCATTATACAATTTTATTTAAATTATGAATGACAAGTTTATTTTAAAAAAGATAATTTACCTTTAATGTTACATTTTAATCTTTCTTTTAATAAAAGTTATTTAATCAACTTATAATATTTTTAATATTTCAATATTAAAATATGAATTGGTCGAATGTTTCATTTCATCTTTTAAAATATGAATATGCCAGAATAAACGAGAATTAAATCCAACAATAATCCTTAAAAACTTCACTTAATAATTTATCTTTCTCACTCCCTTTATAGCATGAATAATTATAAGAAAAAATGAGATGTAAATCAGCCATTTGTGATGAATTTGGAAATTGCTCGAATAAATAAAGAATTTTTCATGATCTTCATGTTGAATTTCCTTAACATAAAAAATAAAGACTTACACAAATAATCGTTCAAAATTTAAGTATTAAATTTCTAATTTAGAAAAAAATCCCTTTAACTATCAATAAAATTCTTTTAGAAATATTGTTGTAAAATCACAAGGTCCATAAAATATTAACTTTAGCAATTTCAACAAAAGATTAAAAGATATTAAGCATTAGGAATAAGAATTGAATTTGGATAGTAAAGCTTTGATGGATTTACAAATAAAGAATTCATAAAAACTAAAATAAGATAAATTTCATAAAGCAGAGATTGATCCTAGCATTGAAACTATGCATACTGGTGTCTTAAGTTGTTCTCCTGGAGAAAGCCCTAGAGTCAAGGTCTTAAAAAGTAAATTGAGGTTTAATTATAGAAACATCCAATAAATTTATTTTAAAATAAACCCTTTAAAAGACTAATTTTATTGAAAAGATAATAGTTGAGAGTAAAATCAATTCAAAAACAACTTGTTCTCCTAGATCAATATTGAATTATCAACATAAAAAGACAAAATCTAGTAGTCTTTCAGCTTATTCAGAATAAAACAAATTTCTTCGTAGAATTATCGGCAATTCTCATCATATTAATACTTAAAATAAGTAATTATGAGCTATTTTATGTGAAATTCTATTTGAAATTTTTTTTAATATAAAAATTAAATATATTTAAGAGATAATGTATTGTTTTAAATCTAAACATTAAAGATGAATTATTCAAAAATAAAAATTAATTTTAAACTATATACTCATTAAAATAGAAAATATAATTTATTTGATTTTTTTATTTATTAATTACATTGTTTCAAGAAGGTTTGCCAAGAAAAAATCCTTTAAATTATAAAATAACTGAAATTAATAGAAAAAATCAAATTTATTATCATACCCAAAATTATTAAGAATTTTATTATTATCTAACATAAAGGAAAAATAAGCATGAAGATTAACTAAAGAGATTTTCTATAGTATTAGAAAAATTGTTTATGTTAAAAATAAAAATCTTCTTTTAAATTATTTATTTTTGATCGATCTTTAATTAAAGTAGATAAGTAATAATCATTTATCTGAAGAGTTCAAATGATAAGAGTATCATTCAATAACTAAATATTTGGAAATAGTTTCTATAAAAGTTTTAATTTTGCAAGGCGTCAAAAATGAAAAGAACTCATCAAAACTTTGCAAATCTTATTTATCTGTTTATTTTTCAATTTCCTGAAGTTAAATATATCCAATTTGAATCATTTCAGTTATTGATTAGTTTAATTCATGTATTTAATTGTTATATGAGTGAGAACATAATAATAAAAAAAAAATTTTACATTTACTAGATGTCATAAAATATAAATGAGCAATCGTTAGACTTTAATAAAAACGCTGGCAAGAATTAAACATTTGAAATTCATGTGAATAATAAACCGGAAGAATTTCATCAAAAGAAACAAGCATCTTAGAATAATTAACATGAAGAAAATTACAATAATGAAGCATCATAAGCCAATTAAGATGATGCAAAATAGCAAATGGAGTAAAGTCATAATATTGAAGCAGTAGAAAATTTAGATAAAAAATCAAAATATTGTACTGCAGCATTATTTAACAATTTAGAAGAATAATAAGAATTAGATTTGGATGAGTTCTCCTAAAATACCTCATGATTAATATTTAGAAAAATTTTCAATTTTTATCTAAAGGAAGTCATTCTATTGTTTATATTTTTGAATTATTTATAAAAAAAATTATTATACTTAATTCCTCAAGTATTTTTGCTTTCAATTTGATTAAGAAAGAGCCCTTGTTTTTTGAGAAGGATATTATTTTGATATTTTAAGTCAATTATGTTTATTTTTACCTAATTTTTTTAGAGTATTTGTATAAGTTTAACAAAAGCTTCCTAAATTGATGTATTAGATATTTATGTCTTTATTCTTTCTTATTATTAGTCATTTAAAGTTCAGCTAAATAATATATTTTTATAGGATTATTATTTTTAGATTAAATCATAACTAAAATTTCTATTTTTTTACTAGATTCAGTTTAAACATTAGATTAATTCTCCAAAGCACTTTTATATTAGAGCCTACTCTCGAATGGTGAATCAATCATCTACAACAAACCTTGAACTTTTTATTCATTATTTTACTTTAGAGACAAATTTAAATATTTACCACTATTATTATCCACTTCTGTTTATGGAATGCAGATTTTATTTGTTTGGTGAATAGATAATATATTACATTTATCAAATGAAAAATATAAAATTTATTTTATCACTTAAAGAATCAGATGAAAGAATGAAAATGCTAAAATAAAATATATAACCATCTTTAAAATATGATGGTAAATTCATATGAATAAACTTCTTTTGATTTTCTATCAAACTTATGGAATAAACAATTTTCTAATTTTTTACTAACTAAACATTATTTAATTATTATTACTATATTAATAAAATAAAAAATCAATTGATCATTATTATTTAACCTTTTTATTTACATTATCAAATTCTTCAATATCTTATTTCTTTGTTTTTTTCTATAGATTTTATTCTTGTTCTTCTCTTCTTTTATGCTTTAATAACATTTTTCTTCTTTTGATTTTTCTTAATTTCTCAACTGCTTTATTTGTTTTTGTTACTAAATTATTATTATTACTTATATACCAACTCTATTATATACAACATTTCCCTACATAAATCCTTCTTCAATTTTATAAAGTTTTAATTCTAATCTAGGTCCAACTTCGTGTAACCTAATACTCATTTATTATTTTTTATGTTATTTATTTTCAATTTCTAATTCTTCTAAATCAGATTATTCTGTATCTGAGGCAAACATTTAATGATTGTTTTATAAAAAATCTGAAAAGTTATTATAATTAGATAGATTTGGTAATTTATTTGCTTTAATGATTTTTTTAATTTTTTTATTTATTCCTTTTAAATTAAAACTTATGTAATAATGTCTTATGTAGATTTTATCATTTTTATATGAAAACAATATAACTCTCTTTTATGTTTTTGGATTTGTATTTTATACATTAATAGCAGGAAACATAGATTAAATCATATTGGCAACCAATTTAATATGATCACTAGTTGGTTTTTTAGGATCATCTGATTAAAAATCAGTTTGAAATCCATTCATCACAAGTAAGGGAGGTGAAAACACTCTTGAAAAAGATTTAAATTTTCTTTAAGCATTAAGAACTTCATTTCTATTTGCATATTTAAGAACTCGAAATGTAAAAGTAGGTCCTCTAGGATTTTAAATAAATCTTATATATGAATCTAAAGATTATAAAATACTATAATACTCTTATTGGTTTATGTCATAATAATCATATGTGATATTAAATAGTAACCAGCTGCTTTTATATAATCTTTCATTTTAGTTTTATCTGATTCTTATAAATTCATGCTTGTAAATGGATACATAACATCTCTATAATCATCAATCAATTGACGAATAGTTGATGAAACCTTTCCTCTCTTTAATATAAATGCTTAAAAATAGAAATTAAATTAAACCTTTTGGTGTTTATCCTATTAAATCAAGATCCTCTTCGGTTGCTTCTTTATGAGTTCTTGTTTTTTTCTAGTTTTATTATAAAAATACTTTTTACCCTTCTTCCTCCAACTTTGGGCATTAATTAAAAATAATTAAAAATTTCATATCAAAAACAAAAAAAAATAAACACATGGCTTTCATTATTCTTGATATAACCTCAATTTTTCTAAGTATATATTGTAGTTATCTTTCGAAATAAATAAGTCATAATTTAACAGTTCTAATAATTCTGATTCCAATTAGTTCAGCTCTTTTAAAGTGATGCCAGCTATTTTTGAATAATAATCATTTCTATAGTAATCATCATCTTGAAATTTTATTGCTAATACTATTGCTATCATTAAAAACCTAAAATACATATTATTTACATACCTATGAACACAATGACTATTTAATAAGATATCTGGATTTAATTCTTAAACTTTATCCAAGTATATCAAAGCTATAATGAAACATTCATCTGTGCATTTTGCATACTTTGCTATTCGGATTAAGTAATTTTCAAGTGTTATTGCAGGTATTTTTGAAGCATGAAATAGTGTTTATTAACAATCTAACTTGTCTGTTTCTTCAACTATCTCTTCCAATATTGTTGCAATGCATTTTAAGATAGATGGTTATTTAGTTCTTTCATGATTCTTCACATTAACTTATGTGCTTATTTCTGTCATATTATATTTATATTAGTAATTTTCTTATTTTAAAATATTTAATCAAAATTAAATTAATAATAAAATTCATATACCTCTTAATTAAATTTGATGCAGCGATTCTATTTAATTATAAGAATGTAAATTCTTGATATTGATAATTAATTCATTAAATTTATTTTATTTTTTCATTTCTAAAAATATTATTAATTAATCAATTATTAAACTTTATAAACATTGAAATTTCTTAATTCTCATCTAACTTTGAGAATATTTGTTCTATCTTTTCTTAATAAATTACTTTATTATATACATAAATAAGACCATTAAATAAAACAAAATATTTATCTTTCAATTTAACATATTAACTTCTTATAGATTTAAATTCTTTGAAAATTTAAAGTTAGAACAAAAGTTTGAACTATGATTTGTAGATATAGCATGTTCTAAGATTAACTTAAATTTCTTGGACTGAAAATTTCAAATTACACCACAAGTTTTAATTACAATGAATCAACTTTGGTTCTAATTAATATTTTAAAATTTCTAAATATGCTTTTCTTTAAAATTAAATTTTATTTAGTTAAGTTAAATTTATTTTATGACAAGATAAGTTTAGATAATATAAGAAATTACTTAAATAATCGTAATAAACGCTGTCGAAATAAGTTGCCTGATAAGCAAACTCTCTGAAATGGTACTAAATTCATATCTAGAATTTTGGGGATTTAGAGACTTTATTCTTACATTAGCTTTTCCTTCTGTTAACTTTTATAGTAAATGCAATTGTTGAGGGAGTTTACTTTTAATTTTATTTTGTATAATAATAATCATTTTTATTAACCCTTCATATTTTGATAATTTGTATTATCTTATTTTGAAAATCCTTTGTATTTAGCTTAATTTTTGTCATCGTTTTCAAAGTTATAATCATAATTTTGAATCTTTTCTGTATTAAACACTCTATCATTTTGAATTTGATTGATTTGCTAGTTGTTATTTGATTATTTTTCATTGGTATTAAAAATTTCTTCATTAAAATTTTTATCATTTACTCCTGTAAAATTTCTGGTAGGTATTGAATTATTAAAATTTCTTTCATTATTGTTTCTGTCAAAATTATTATGATTATTGGTTTTGTCTTTATTAAAATTCCTTTCATTATTTTTTCTGTCAAAATTATTATGATTATGATTATGATTATTGATATTTCTTTCATTATTTTATTTTTCATTATTAAATCTTTCATTATTTTATTTTTCATTATTGAACCTTTCATTATTAAATCGTTCATTATTACTTCTTTGATTATTATTCCTTTCATTATTAAATCGTTCATTATTAGTTTAATCTACTAAATCTTTTTCATTATTATTTCTATCAATATAGTTTCTCTCGTTTTTGTTTCTATCGAATGTATTTCTTTCATTATTATTTCTATCATAATTATTAACAGGTCTATCATTATTATGGTTGAGATTTCTTTAATTGTTAATATTGTTTTTTTCATTATTTTGAGATCTGTCATATTTGAATTGATTATTATATTTATCATTATAAAATTAAGATTCCTTATTATTATTTCTTTTATTTTAATGATCAGTATCATTTCTAAAGTCTATATTATATGATTTTAAATTTGAATCTTATTCATTAAGTCTTTTATTTGGAAATGGATTAGTCTTACCTTCTTCTTAAGACTAAGGCAAAAATTTATAGTTTTTAAGATCTAATTCTTATGAATTTTCTGATGGTTTGTTTAGATCTGCATCTGAGATTTTAAATTATCGTGAATCAATTTAATTTTTTTTAGATTGAAATAATTATTATTATGGTTAGTTTGGTAATGATTTTTGATCGGATGACTATTTATTTAAAAAATCCATATTATAATTTTGATATTATTAATGTAATTATGGTTAATCATGATTACGATCTTAATTGTATTCACTACGACTATGTTTATGATAAGGTTTTTTGTGATAATTGTGATATGATTATTTATTTTCGGAGGGATTTGAATTATTATCTTTAAGATGTGAAGGTTATCCAAAATTATTAGGTGGATAAATAGAGGTTGAATTATTAGTATTATCTATATATTATTAAAGTTTTAATTATTATTTTTCTTACTTAATTTTCTAAGCTTTATCTTTAAATTCTAATAATTATTTATTAAGTTCTTAATTACAAGAGTTAAGATAAGTTATGATTTAATCAGCAAGAATTCCTTCATCCTTTTCATAAGATAAAAGTGAGAAACTTCTTCCATGTGCTCCTGCTCTACCAGTTCTACCAATTCTATGAATATAATCATCAAAAGATTTAGGAAAATCATAATTAACAACAACAGTAATATCTTTAACATCTAATCCTCTTGATGCAATATCAGTTGCACATATTAATCTGGTATTAGAATCTTTAAATTATTTCATAATAGCATCTCTTTAATCTTATGATTTATCACCATGAAGTGAGATACAGAAATAACCTTATTTAGTAAGACTTTAACTAAGATCTTCACATCTCTTTTTAGTTTCAGCAAATATTAATACTTTATCAGTATAAATTAAATCATCTAAAACATTCATTAAAACATTTAACTTTTCTTTTTATGCAGTACATATAATTTTTTATGTGATTGGTGCACCCTTTCCAATTTTAACTAATATAGGATTGTAACAAAATTCCTTTGATAATTAGTAAACTTCATTAGGCCACGTTGCTGATAACAATATAGTTTATCTATCTTCTCTTATTGTAGATACAATATCTCTTACTTAAGGTTCGAATCCCATATCCAACATTCTATCAGCTTCATCTAATATAAGCATTGTAATCTTATTTAAATCAACCATTCCCTCTTCTATTAATTCTGTTAATCTACCTGGAGTTGCTACAATAACATGAACTCCTTTTTAAATCAATTCCACTTATTATTTTTTATTTGGATTACCACCATAAATACATACAATTTTAAGATTCAATAAATTAGGACCATTCTCTTTTTCATTCTATTTCTTATTTCCATAATAATATTCAATTAATTAAAGTAATTAATCATATATTTATACACCCAATTCTCTCGTTGGTACTAAAATAAGTAATTTTGGTTATGGAGACTCTTTTATCATCATAGAATGTTATTCTAAATGTACTAAAGCAGGTAACAAATATGCTAAAGTCTTACCTGATCCTGTCTAGGCTATGGCTAATGCATTTCTACCAGATAATATTATTGGTATAACTATATGTATTCTTCAAATACCTTCTGATTATATTGCTGTTGGTTACTCAAATTCTGGTATTCCCAATGGAAAATGTTTCCAATCTAAAAATGGCTAGATTATATTATTATCCTATTCACCATTTCTTATTATTGTTATATCATTTTCATATCTAAATGTATCTATGTCCTCCTATCTGTACTATAAATCACTTGCCTATTTCATTTTTTATTATTATCCATTACATTTATAAAACATTTTTTAAACTCTTCAAATTCTCCTTAACATGATGCAAACAGACCTAATGGTTGACTCCATCTCTTTAGTCCTTTCATTATTTTTAATATCAACCTCAAAGTTTTTCCTTTTAATTATTGGCAATAGATTGGTATTATTTATCTAATTATAAAAATATTTAATTATCATTTTAGTATTTAGATTAACATTCTTTGATATCTCCCAATAAATCTTGGCATAAATTCTCTTTATTTGTTATTCCCTCTTATATATATTTATTTCGCCTTCATATATGGTTCTCTCTAAGATGATATAAATTTCTTAACGTTCTAATTCACTTACGATACACTAAATTATTGCGTAGTTCTTAAATCTACCTACTATTAAAGTGTTAACTTATATGTAGGATTCTCTAATATCTTATGATTGAATGAATATTAATCTTTATTTTTATATTTCTCGGTTATCTCCAATATTCTTTTTGGTAGTTTAACTTGTTTCTTTATCTATTTATTCAAAATTAATGTTTATTCATGATGAATCAAATTAAACTCACTAAACTCTTTTCCTCTTATTGTAGAATAGATAATATCTATTGGATTACAATTATTATATTTTATTAATCTCTTCTCATCATAACTTTTACCACTTGCAATATTTTAAAATGGAACACTTATTGATCCTTAAATCGATGACATAAAATCTGTCGCTTTTGTTGGCAAAGTTCTTTCAAACATTTTTATAAACTCCATTGCTGTTACTCTGTAATAAGATTAAGATTCCTCTAAAAAACCACTTGACCATTTCTAATGATAGTATTCTGCTCTTTCTATATTCCCTTAATAAAAATAAGCTAATCCCATTGCATCATAACACTGTATTTCTTCATCATGATAATAATAGGCCCAAGAATACATCAATGCTTTTTAAATTAAAGTTATCGATTAGTCAAATAACTTAAACCTATTAATATAAAATAGTTTACTATTTAGCACAGATTGCCATAAATAATAAGGTGATGACTTTTAATTTAGGAAAGCGTGCAAGATTTGACATAATTAAACAATCTCTTAAAAAATATGTAGCTTTTGAATAATCTTAGCAATCATAAAAGAACTAAGCTAAAAGGAAGAGCATTTATGAAAATAATTCAATTAACTAAATTAAAAAGCAATAATATACATTTTATTCTTATGCGATGAGCATAGGTTTTTAAAATAAATTAATCATTTTCTCGACATCTTTTTTTCTAATAAAATCTTGAAATAAATAGGAGTTTTCTTCAAAGAACAAAATAATATTATATTTTTTATCTGATTAATTATATCCTTTTGTACTGATAAATGGAATAAATTTAACATCCTAATAGTAAGTAATTAAAAAATACTTTGCTAAAAGAATGTAGTTAAGAATGAGGTGTAATTTTGTATTCATATTCATGTAAATTAGTGAGATCTAATTGTTTAAGTGTTTAATCATGAGTATGTTCGAAAAGGGATATATCTCTTTGTAATGGAGAATTGCAGTTGGATGATGAAAATAGTTTCATAAATGGTTTAGTAGTAACTTATTTTTTAGGTTGACTGCTTAGAAAACTACGAAGCACCGAAGACATTTAAGTTTTTCTAAAATGTTTAAGTTTGTCAAGCACAAATGAAGCAGTGGAAGGTGGTGAATTATTTTATTACATAATACTTATTAATTTTAATTGAAGCAGATCCAAAATTATTGTCTCTTTTAGAATAAGTAAATAATCCAATAGAAACACTTAAAATAAATCTATCAATGAGACATTAGCATAATAAAAGGGTTTTTATGGATTTACTGATGATTTGAGAATAACAGATGAAATAAATCCAGGAATATTTGCAAATGTGATACATTATAAAGGAGATGATATGTTTGGTAAAATAAGAGCAAGAGAATAAACAGAAAAAGAGAAAAATGAAGAGTATTAAAAAGGATTCAAAAAATCTAGAAGAGTTTTGATTTAAGAGGAAGAAGAAGAATAATAAAAGTAGAAGCATTTAGAAATTTTATTTGAGTAAGAAAAGTAGTTTTTAAATTCAGAAGATAAACAGAATAATTTAATGAAGCTGAAGAAATATTCTTAAAAGCACTTTCAATAAAATCTAAGAGATCTTTTGAAATATAATTAAGATTAGGTTACTTATATTTGAAGCATAAATCATGGTAAGATGCCAGGGGAATTTTTGAAAAAGCTTTAAATCAATAACCTAATAGTTCATTATCATGATTAGGATTAGGGATTACAAATTTAAGATTGAGAGATCCAATAGATTGTTAGGCAGATATATAAGAACCTTTCAATGGTCAAGTTTGGGGATATCTTGCATTAAATTGTATAGTTTTAAAAAAGAGGATAATAAGCAAAATAATATGTTTATAGAGAATGGAATAAACAGAAGTTAATGATTTATATTTATTACTTGAATTAGCTTAGGAGATGTCCTAATGTTGTGATTTTTAAAGTTGAAGATCAATTATGATAAGAATTTATGATTCTCAAATTATAATATCAAATATAGGGGAATTATTAATGAATCTGTGATAGGTATATTCATAACTTGGAAGATATGAAGAAGCTAAATAATACTATATTGAATCATTGGAATATTAAGAAAGTGCTAATGGAAAAGCTAAGGTAAATTCTGAAATCAAATTATTATGATAATATTAAAATAATCAATAGTCCTCATCTTCTTCCCAAATCTCTTACAAAATTTGTACTAAATATTTAAGTTTAATTTTCTTGTAAAATGGCTAATAAGGACCTTTAACCTAACGAATAATATCTTCTATTTATCTTCTTTCATGGTTAGTGTTCATCAATTTTTATTACTAATTCATTAATTTATATAATAACTAACATTCATTATAATTTAATTTCAAATTTATGTCAACATCATCTGATTTCTAGCCTCCATCTCCAAGTCTCTCACCTAGTTCATAAATAAAATGTTATCAAGAACAATTAGAAAAAGCTCATTCAATGATCGACTATTTAGAAGTAATGCTATCAGAGAAATAAGCATTAAAAGAGAATTTCAATTCATTTAATTTACCAAAGAATAAATCTCATATGAAAAAACAGAGTCTCTGTTTAGATAACCTTCCTTAATCATAATCTATATAAATTCAATAATATGTTACTCCTAGAGAAACTAATCAATAAATGAGATTCACATCTACTAATATGCCTAGTTATATTTCTGAATTATAATAAAAACATTAAGAAATCCTTTCTTCTAATAAAGAGAAATCAACTGTTAAAAAACTTTAAATTTAAGAAATATAAGAAAAAGTTTAAGATCTTTAAGATGAAATAATTATTTGTAAGGAAAGATAAAGAAACACTGAAATTGCAAAAAATCAAGCAGAAGAAGTTTTTGAGTAAATTGATGATGAAATTCTACTTGCAAAACAAAAATTATAATCAGTAAAATCTCAAGGGGAGTAAATCTATGAAAATATGATGAAATTAGAAGATTAAGAGCATGATAAAAAATATTATATAGGTCGAACATCTACTTTGAAGAGAAAAAGAAGTGAAATATAACCATAAAATCAAATCAAGAACTAATTAAATTAATTAAAAAATGAAATTGAATAACTGAAGTAATCAAAAAAAGAAAAAGAAGAATATTATACTCAAAAAATAAGAGATATTGAATAATAATTAGATCATAGAAAAACAAATGAATCTCTTCCTGAAGATCAGCTTAATGCTTCTTTAAGTCCTGATAGACAGAAAGTAAGAGTTTATAAAGGAAAGCATGCTTTATTATAAGTAATCTCTTGAAAAATTATTAAAGCTTACACTTAATTCTGATTCTTGCTCTAGATCTTATGCCTTGAGAAAATCATAAGAAAATAAATTGAATTCAGCATTTGATTTCAAATAATTTGATGAACATGAAAATGTTTCAATAGATTCTTTTAAAAATAAAGATAAAAAGAATAGGACATGTGATCCCTGTACTATCTTTTGATTAAATATATATATAATTAATTTAACATTTCATAAAAAGTATTTATATACTTTCAAATGGTTATTAATTTCATAAGTTAGTTCAATTGATTTAACATCAATTCATTACAATTATGTTTCATAGATAAATCATTTGAATTATTTTAAATATAATATTATATTAATAATAGTTTAGAATATTATTTCCTTAATTTGTAATACAGTATATTGTTGATTTCAAAGAGTTTAGCAAAATAAAGTTTGACTTAATTTTCAGTTGAATATCTATTTCTATGAACCTGAAAGAGAGATTGTATCTGTCTGATAAAATAATGTAATAAACTCAATCTATCAACTCTTTCACTAATTTAAAAGTTGAAGAGAAATACTTTTTGATTAATTCATATTTATAATTAATTTATGCAAAGAGAAAAGCGTATACCTTCAAGAGTTTGGAAATATGAAGAATATTCTCCTCCTAGACGATCTTCATAATCAACAAATCGAAGGCAAAGAAAGAGAGAATTATGCTATTATAAAATACATAAAATCTCATAAAATTCTACATTTACTAAAGAAGAAGATGATAGCATTCTTTAATATGTTAAAGAATTAGGACCTAAATTCGTTAAAATTGCCACTTTCTTTCCTAACAAATCATATAGCATGGTGAAAAACAGATACTATAAGCATTTAAGAAATAGACTGTTTGAAAGAAAAGGAAGTTAAGAATTAAATCCTAATAATCAAGACACCACTTAATAATTGAAAAATTCTACTCTCCAACCTAATAATGAGAAAATAGAAGAATTAAAATAACTTATCTCTTCTATAAATTTATTTCCTGAAATAACGGAAATAACCAAAAGTTTCATTGGTGAATTGTAAAGACATCTTCTCTGATATTATGTTTAAACTTTGTTAATATTGATTTTAATTCATTTATTAATTTTTATAAATTCAATCATCAACCATTAGAAATCGATTATATTCTTATTGAAATCTAAATACAATTTTTATATATATATGCTTCTATTTTAAATTAAAAATTTTAATTTTTCAATCATTCTAAGTATGAGAAAATATTATCTATACCACCATTTTCAAACATTTATAGTTATAAATTATTAAATTAATAAATTGCGTTATTTCAAANAAATGTTTCAATAGATTCTTTTAAAAATAAAGATAAAAAGAATAGGACATGTGATCCCTGTACTATCTTTTGATTAAATATATATATAATTAATTTAACATTTCATAAAAAGTATTTATATACTTTCAAATGGTTATTAATTTCATAAGTTAGTTCAATTGATTTAACATCAATTCATTACAATTATGTTTCATAGATAAATCATTTGAATTATTTTAAATATAATATTATATTAATAATAGTTTAGAATATTATTTCCTTAATTTGTAATACAGTATATTGTTGATTTCAAAGAGTTTAGCAAAATAAAGTTTGACTTAATTTTCAGTTGAATATCTATTTCTATGAACCTGAAAGAGAGATTGTATCTGTCTGATAAAATAATGTAATAAACTCAATCTATCAACTCTTTCACTAATTTAAAAGTTGAAGAGAAATACTTTTTGATTAATTCATATTTATAATTAATTTATGCAAAGAGAAAAGCGTATACCTTCAAGAGTTTGGAAATATGAAGAATATTCTCCTCCTAGACGATCTTCATAATCAACAAATCGAAGGCAAAGAAAGAGAGAATTATGCTATTATAAAATACATAAAATCTCATAAAATTCTACATTTACTAAAGAAGAAGATGATAGCATTCTTTAATATGTTAAAGAATTAGGACCTAAATTCGTTAAAATTGCCACTTTCTTTCCTAACAAATCATATAGCATGGTGAAAAACAGATACTATAAGCATTTAAGAAATAGACTGTTTGAAAGAAAAGGAAGTTAAGAATTAAATCCTAATAATCAAGACACCACTTAATAATTGAAAAATTCTACTCTCCAACCTAATAATGAGAAAATAGAAGAATTAAAATAACTTATCTCTTCTATAAATTTATTTCCTGAAATAACGGAAATAACCAAAAGTTTCATTGGTGAATTGTAAAGACATCTTCTCTGATATTATGTTTAAACTTTGTTAATATTGATTTTAATTCATTTATTAATTTTTATAAATTCAATCATCAACCATTAGAAATCGATTATATTCTTATTGAAATCTAAATACAATTTTTATATATATATGCTTCTATTTTAAATTAAAAATTTTAATTTTTCAATCATTCTAAGTATGAGAAAATATTATCTATACCACCATTTTCAAACATTTATAGTTATAAATTATTAAATTAATAAATTGCGTTATTTCAAATAAGTAAAATAAACATAAAAATTAAATAATTATATTAAAAATAAATTTTTTTTTTTAAAGTTCTAGAACTATTAGTAAGTAAAATCAATTCTTAATATCGGATTGATAATTAATCAATACATTATCTGAAAATTAATAAAAAGCTATTAGTAAGTAGATGAAAAATTGCAAATAAATCTAAAAAATAGAATTTTTTCAATAAGTTTAAGCATTTATGATTATAGTTGTTGTAATGCTCTCACGATATCAAATAATGGAAATTAGCTCATATTTCAATATTAAATGAGAAAAAATTACTTAATATTTTAAGTTGTTAAATGATATAAAAAAATAAAACTTCTGATAATTGATAATCAAAAATAAATAAAAAAATAGCTTATTCAGTAAGATCGAACAAATGTATAGATCTATAAGACATCTAAAGAGGCAAAAGATTCCGCTTATAAATGTGAATTTCTTATTTATATTGATTACAAATTGATAAGATTAATAATAAGAAATTATCAAATGTTTATTTAGTCTTAAATATGTTCAATTTGGTTTCATATATTTAGGAAACTAGCATAATTTCTTAAAAATTACTTTAAAACTATCTAAGCAAGGTTGAGAAGTAGTAAATTCAATCTAATTTCCTCCAAAGTAATGAGGACTCTTTAATTTGATTTATGTATTGGGACTAAGTTAGATTGATTTAATCTCAAAAGGAATATTTTTTGATGATTATAATTATTCCCCTTTACATATTTAATATAAATTTCCTTAATAATTGCATTCACTATAGAGATTAATGCATGGGATAAATATTTAAATAATCAAATCGCGAAATCCCCAGGATTCTAATTTATTATCATTAAGGATTTACCATTATTTAGAGGTTCGTTCAAATCATCAACAAACTTAATTGTCAAACTTGTTTCTTAAACTTAAAATTATTTTGTCACGTGTACTAATAAGTCATTATCTACATTGGTTCTACATAATCTCGTTCCATCATCATGACCAATAATTATATTTCCCAAAAGAACATCATTTGCCCAAATTTAAACTCCTTCCCCATCCCAAGTGTCAAATTTCCATATACCAACTGATAACTATAGATTACTTTTAGGGGTTAGATTAGTAAAGGTTTTTGTTACAGTTGTCTTAAACCCATATGGTCCCAAGTATAAGCTTTAAGAACCTGAACCACATCTATCAATAGTTGAAGAGGTAGCTCCAGTAATTAAAAAATCTGTATATCTACAATCCTAAATCTGATCAGTCCTACAGTTTTCATAAAGTATTGTATTTAGAAATAATACTTTTAAAAATGTAATTAATGGTGCCATGATATATAAATATTTTTTTAATGTTTTGAATTTATGCGAGGAGTATTTTCTAATAATTTTGAGAAATTTAAAAAAAGAAGAGCAATGAAAATAATGAGAAACATTATTCAAAAATTCCTAAAGTTATTAAAGAATGCAATAATTTGATTGAATTCAAGCACAAAATTCGAAATTAAAATTAAACATAAAGAAGCAATAACAAAAAATAATATAGATTTAAGAATTCTATTTAATTTTATAATTGAATACAAACCCATGTTTTTGTTTTAACTTTTAAAAATACTCTATAATCTGAGCAACCCCAAAAATTAAATATATTTAGCTTTTATTCAATAATTAATTTTTATTTGTAAAACATTTATTAATTAAGTGAAGAGCAAATTTTTAAAGTCTAAAGCATAGTCTTAATTTTTATGAATGAAATTAGACATTTAGGATTAGTAATGTTTTTATATTTTAAAAATTAAAGTTACTTCTCAAAAGACAATCTTAAAAATGAGCATTCTTTACAATTTATATTTTAAGTAATAATGATTATTTTAATAAAGATAATGATAAATTATTATAATAAAAATTTAAGAAATTATGAATGAGATGATGGTTATTTAGAATAAGTAAATAAAGAGAGTTGATAATACTAATAATAAATGATATAGAGTAACAATTGTTGTTAGAATATTAATAATTATAATTAATCCCTCCAAATAAATAATTTAAAAGATATCAAAGAATGTAGAGGATGTTTATAAGATGGTTTCATAAGTTGACCATATTTTATTGAGACCGGATACTTGCATAGGAAGTGTTGAGATATCAGATTAAGAATAATGGATATTTGAAGACAGTGATTAGATCAGTTTTAAATTAGAGGAATATATTTATTGTTGAGGATTATATAAGATATTTGATGAGATATTGGTGATAGCAGCAGATAATTATTAGAGAGATAAATCTACAGATAGAATATCTGTGACAGTAGATAATGATTTTAAAATGATAGAGAATGCTGGACCAGGCATTCCAATATAAATACTTAAATAAAACAATATATATATACCAGAGATGATATTTGGAAGATTATTGTTATCTTCTAATTATGATGATTCAGAATAGAAAGTTACAGGAGGTAGAAATGATTTTGGAGCAAAGTTAGCAAATTTTTTTAGTTCTTATTTTAAATAGAAACAATTCATGAACATAAGAATTTTACAATGTTTTGGACAGAAAATATGGCAGGTATTTTACCAATTGATGTATATTTGAATGTGAAGAAGATTGGAATAAATAATTTTAAGGATTATGCATAATTATATGGTATAAATGGGAAATTTGCATATTCATTTTAGAATAAACCAGTATTGATAAGTTCTTCAGATGGTTAATTTGGTTGGGTTTCATTTGTGAATTCTATAAATACAATAAGAGGGGGAACACATGTTAATTATATAGTTGATTAGATAGTAGAAGGTTTCTTGGTTCCTATAAAAAAGAAATATAAAGAGATAAAGAATATCAAATACCTTCTAGTTTAGATGGACTAAAGCCAACATAAAGAAAGATTATTCATACTTTACTTAATCATAATAAATAAGAATATAAAGTTAGTTCTTTAAGTGGATTAGTTTTGAATTGAAACTTCATGATGATGTCTTAAAATAAGATCTAGATAAATATTTTAAATTAACTACTACAATAGCTATGACTTATCTTGTCTTATTTAATCATAATGGATTACTTAAAAGATATTCTAATGTTATTGAAATACCAGATGAATTCTTTCTAAATAAAATTAAATTCTATTAACTTAGAAAACAATATTTACTTTCTAAATATTAAAATGAATTATAATTAGTTTAATGTAAATCAAATTTATTGAAGCTATGATAGATAATTCCATTTAATTAAGTGGATTAAAAAAAATTTAAATGTGCAATAAACTTTAATCTCTTGGATTCAAAGGAATTACTCAACTTGATTAAATTAAAAGCACTAAAATAATTAAAGAATTTGATATTAATAATTTAGAAAAATAATATTATTATCTTTTTTTAAGTATGCCTATGTGGAATTTTAGTGAAGAAAAAATGACTACATTCAAATAATAAATTAAATCATTATAAGAATAAATTAATAGCAAAAAGCTGAATAAAAAATTACTAAAACAACTAGAATTAAAAAATTGTGACTTAAATTGATTCAGAAAAAAAAAGTTTGAAATTAAAAGAAAAGCAGAATTAGAAAATGCCGAAGAAGATTTAAAATTAATTGAATAAGAAAAAAAATAATAAGAAAAACAAAAGAGTTCCAGTTGATTCTTTGAAAGTTCCTACTTAAGACAATGAAGAAATGGATCTTTTTTAAAAATATGGATTTGGAGATTTAATGAAATAATATCTGATTAAAGATAAAAATCCTATACCATCCCCAGCTGATAGAATACTTTAAAAACAAAATAAGGAGAAATTAATTTTGATAAAATAATTGCTGATAAAAAATAAGAAAGTGCAATAAAATAAAAAGAAAATAAAGAATCAGATAATGAAGTCGAAGATATACTATAATTAGATTTAAGTTATGAATTAAAAATGTAAAAAAAAGAAAAAAAAATGAAATCTACATCGAAAAACATTGTGGAAATAAAATCAGGAAAAAAGAGTATTGAGTTATAATTATAATAAAATATAAGTACTCATGCTAAACGTAAACAAAGAAAACAAATAATTGAATCAAGTGATGAAGAACCCTTAATAAGAAAAAAGAAAACAAAATTGAAAAAATTATTCATCTTTTTATATTTATTAATAGAAATACCAAAAAATAAACAAAATTTCTCTCTGTTCCATCTTTTTTTTTTGCCTTAGTTTTTTTATTCATAAGGTTATTAATATAAAATATCATATAAGTATTCTTATATAGCTATAAATCTACAGAGTTCTAATTCTATAAATAAAAATAAAAATTGGATGGAATTGGATATCTAAATATTTGGAAAAAGATAAAGGATTTAAATAAGTCAAAATTCCTTAGTCAAGGATGTTATTAATAAGATTATAAGAGAGCAAAAATTAATGGAATAGAATTAATAATTAGCTTTATTTCTGAATGGGAAGGAACTTTAAAAAGAATTAAAGATATTATAATAAGGAAATGTCTCAGGAGGAAAGTTGGAACTTAAATAAATTTAACAACCATAATAACAATTATTAGGAATAAAGTTGGTATATAATAATGAAATAAAAATTGTTTATGTTTAAAATGATTACCTTGTTTAAGTTTTATATGTGGAAGCTGAGTCTTAATTTTACTTACAAAAAGATTAATTTAGACTCATGTTAAATGAACAAGATCTGAATGAATAAATTCTTATTAAAAACTATTCTATAGATGCAAGTTCTTAAGTTTTAGTAAAGAAATTAAACTAATTAAATAAGCCAGAATTAATGATTGAATTGAGAATAAGTTATTAAAAAGAAACAAAAATTATTTCTATTAATATTTATTGTTAAGTATTTGAATTAGAACAATAAATTAAGAAAAGTTTTAATATTACTTAAGACATATGTATATTTAGTGATAAAATAGTTCTGCAACAAGATTAAAAATTGATTGATATTACTTTTAATAACAATAAATCTCTTTTAGTTCTTTAAAAAGAGGTGTATTAAGGATCATTGAAGTATGTTGAGATTTTCTTAGAATATAAGGGAGTAAAATATCCTTTTGAAGTATCTGATGATACATTAATACAAGAGATTATTATTCTCTTTGAAAATTAGTAGAAAGAAACGGGTATTGGGTTAAAGTTTAATTCGAATATACTGCCTCTTAATCAATCGATAAGCACATTGAATATTTAACAAAATAGTACCTTGATTGTTTTTAAAAATTAAATTGAAAGACAGAAAAATAATGTATTAAAAATAAATCTTAGGATTGCTGAAGATATTTAAAAAATTGAGGTTGATCCTGATACATTAATAGAGGAACTTATTTGTTAAATTGAGAACAATAACTAAATTCAAAAAATTGAATTAGTTTTGGAAAATGGAACAATATTACATAGAGATTAAACTTTTAAATATTATAACCTTCAAAATGAAGTATAAATCTAAGTTAGGATTTATTAGCATTAATAATATTAAGTGAATAATTAATAAATTTAATTCGATATTGAATTTTAAGGTAAAAGGAGTTAATATAAAATTCCAATCTAAACATAGATCTATCATCTAGAGAATTGTTTTAAAAATTAATTAAAAATTTAAAATTAAATATATTTTATTTTTTAGGGTAAAAAACTTAATTCAAATAGAACTTTACATGAGGAAGGTATTAAAGATGGAAGTCAATTGATATGCGAAATTTTATACGATAAAAAAATCATCCCTACCCAACCTTAGGAAAATCCGGGTTAAAGAAATGCAACCATTAAAGTTTTGGATAATTAAGTAAAAAATTAAAATAACAAAAAATTTTTTGTTTAATACAAAGATCAAGTTTATGAATTTTTTGGAGTTGAGAATATCTTAGTAAGCTAATTTATTTAATCGATTAAAAATTAATTTAAGATAAGTCATGATATAAATCTTTTTACTAAATAGGGGATTTAATTGTAATCTTAAAATTATTTATATTAATACAATCTTTAAGATAAAGAAATACTTTTTATATAAAGTACATGTACATATCCTTTGAAATTGACAATTAAGTACTAAGATCGATCGAAAATAATTGATGTGAATGATGATACCTTAGGAAGAGATTTAAATATGAATATAAAATAATTATTTTAGATAAAACACGACATTGATTTAATTGTAAATAGAGACAAACTTAACCCTCATTTTTCTTTGAAATAGCAAAACTTGAAGAATAATATGTGTTTGGAAGTTTAAGAGAAAAAAATACAGATTAAGGATATTAGTTAATAATAAAGTTATCCTTAGAAAGAAGCATAATAATAATATATATAATAATAAAATCATTAGATGTAATAATAACCTTAGGTGTAATAATAATTTTAACATAAATTAATTAAAATTTGCGAAGTTTAAAATAACTAACCGAATTAAATAAATAAAAAGGAGCACTATATTATCATTTTATAATATAAATAAAATTAGCAATAAATTGAATTAGATAAAGATGTAAAAATTAATGAAATAGCTGACTATATCAAAAATGTATTTGAAATTAATCATAAAATTAAACTCACTTGTTAAGGAAAAATATTACAAGATCATTAAACTTTAGAAGAAATTGGAATAGATGATAACAATGTTATAATTGTAGAATGAGATAAATATTAATAAATAGAATTTATTATTAATTCATTAGAAATATATAATTATAATTAATTAATTTTCTGATCATTTTCTAATTATGAATAAAAAAGAAATTAAAGAAATTGGAGATTCAACATCATTGACAAAAACAAGTTTACTTAAAATTGAATCAAAAGAAGGATTATTAATATATATATTTACAAAGTTATTTGATCATCCAATACGATAATAAATTAAATTTGCATTTGGATAAATTAATGTGTTTATTAAAAAATAAGGAATAAAATGTTTTAAGAGTGAAATGAATAGTATGGAATGCTTAAATTAAGGAATTTATTGGGATTAGAAATATTTTTATAACATTATTCTATGTTTGGAAAGGCCTGATAAAGATTTTAGGTATATTTATAATAATTATTTAATAGCTATTCATTTAGAAGAAGCGAAGGAAACGAACAAATTCCATGTGATTACGTTTTAACATTATTTGAGAGAGTTCATAAATTAAATGAAGTTATTTTATCAAAAGTATATTTAATTGAAAATCCATCACTTTCAACTTTGGATTATTTTTACAGAATTTCTAAAGATATTTAAGATAAAACAGAAGTGGCATATAAAAATTTGGAAGAAAAATTTATAAATTGATATTGAATTTATAATCAATTAATCATAATATGGAGAAGAAGAAATTAAAAAAAAATTTGTCCATTTATTAAACGAGAAAAAAAAAAAAATTTTTAGATTAAATTAAATAAATGGATTAATATCAAATTAAATTATTGAATAAGAACAATAAAATAATTAAATAAATGTTGATGATTTTTTTGAAGAAAAGTAAATTCCAGTTAAGAAATAATATGATGATTAATGGCAAAACTCTCTATTTCCAGTCAGTTAAATAGATTAATTTTTATTCACTTAGGATACTTAAAATAAAAAAGATCTCAAGAATATTCAATCAAAATGAATAAAATTTTGATTATTTTTTGTTAATTAATTTTTGAATCTCATAATCTACTTTTTATTTTATCTATGTTTAATTCAATATATTCTATAATGATGATTGAAAATCTAACAAAATTCAATTATAATTAATTAAAAATTTATAAAATTCACTTTCTATATATGAAGAATGATTAATCAAAAATCGCATTAAGCCATTTCTTGGTCAGTATCATAATATAAATTAGGAATCATTCTACAACATTGTCTGGCTTTCTTAAAATGATTTAATTATGCTAATGATTGAACTAAAAATAGATATTTATAAGTACATTTTTATAAATACAAATGAAGTGATTAAGGAGATATTTTTAAAGCTAAATTAATACATTTTAATGCATCAACCCATCTTTCCTATTTTTCTAGATATAATGCTAAAGATATAATTATCTAAATCAACCTTTTTCATATTACAACTAAAAATTAGTAGGAGAATGAAAAATGGCTTGATCATATAACTCAATAATTTACTCAAATTTTTTCTCTTCAAATAAGATATTTGCTAAATAATTACTTTCATACCTTTGTATTAATATCCTTCAACATTTTTTGGGTATTTCTCAATATATTTATCAGTAAAATAAATAGCTTCTTGTTTTTCATTAATTTCAAGTAAAAAGTCAACTAAATTATCATTAAATAATTACTTCTAAAACGTTATAAAGTTTCTTCATCAGTTTCTAAAATTCCTTCATTATAACATTATCTAATTTATTCATTTGTTTAATCTTGATTTCAAAATTAATATAGTTACCATAAAGGATTTTAAACTTTGATTCTTGATTACTCTCATCATATTACTTTAATAAGTTCTACTTGTATTTTGTCATTGCTTTTACTAACATGATTTTGATTTATAAAAACTTTTCAATTTATAATATTTAGCTTCTTTCTTATTTTTTTAAATTAATTCATCAAGAATTTNATATTCAATCAAAATGAATAAAATTTTGATTATTTTTTGTTAATTAATTTTTGAATCTCATAATCTACTTTTTATTTTATCTATGTTTAATTCAATATATTCTATAATGATGATTGAAAATCTAACAAAATTCAATTATAATTAATTAAAAATTTATAAAATTCACTTTCTATATATGAAGAATGATTAATCAAAAATCGCATTAAGCCATTTCTTGGTCAGTATCATAATATAAATTAGGAATCATTCTACAACATTGTCTGGCTTTCTTAAAATGATTTAATTATGCTAATGATTGAACTAAAAATAGATATTTATAAGTACATTTTTATAAATACAAATGAAGTGATTAAGGAGATATTTTTAAAGCTAAATTAATACATTTTAATGCATCAACCCATCTTTCCTATTTTTCTAGATATAATGCTAAAGATATAATTATCTAAATCAACCTTTTTCATATTACAACTAAAAATTAGTAGGAGAATGAAAAATGGCTTGATCATATAACTCAATAATTTACTCAAATTTTTTCTCTTCAAATAAGATATTTGCTAAATAATTACTTTCATACCTTTGTATTAATATCCTTCAACATTTTTTGGGTATTTCTCAATATATTTATCAGTAAAATAAATAGCTTCTTGTTTTTCATTAATTTCAAGTAAAAAGTCAACTAAATTATCATTAAATAATTACTTCTAAAACGTTATAAAGTTTCTTCATCAGTTTCTAAAATTCCTTCATTATAACATTATCTAATTTATTCATTTGTTTAATCTTGATTTCAAAATTAATATAGTTACCATAAAGGATTTTAAACTTTGATTCTTGATTACTCTCATCATATTACTTTAATAAGTTCTACTTGTATTTTGTCATTGCTTTTACTAACATGATTTTGATTTATAAAAACTTTTCAATTTATAATATTTAGCTTCTTTCTTATTTTTTTAAATTAATTCATCAAGAATTTGTATGGCTGAAAGAAAAGATTTTGTTTGAATTAGATATTAAGCTAATTAATTTGAAATTTTTTTTACCTTTTTTTTGTTAAAATACAAGTAACTCTGGAAAATGTTTTATAGCTTTATCACAAACTTATATCAGTTATTCGTAATTATAATCTGCCTCTAATGCTTAAGCTAATGAATGTTTATAAATTAAAACTTAATTAATTATAGCCTTCAACAAATTCCGGATACGAAGAAGTAAATTAATTCCACATTTCTATATTTTCTTGTAATCTCCCAAGTTTTTTTAAAGCATTTGCTTAATTTAATTATATATATTGGTACATTTTATAATATAGGTATCTATTTATTATGGATACATAGAAATTATGTCATCACAAAAATCTAAAGAGTCATTAACATTTTTAAATTTAGATATTGCTAATGCTATCATGTAATAATTAATCATATTACCTTTTAATTACAAAAATTGATATTGAGAAGGATATTTTTAGATTGCACAATCATAAAATTCAAATATTTTATCACAAAACTTTTATCTTTCTATAATGCCTTCTAACAATATCAAAAATGAGATTTACTTAAATAGTTATAAATCACTTCTTGATTGGATATTTCTAATATTTACTTAAATTTTTCAATCGCTTCAGAAACTTTTTCTAATTGAATCAAAGGAAAAACTAAAATAAGAATTTGATTTACTTTCTTCAATCTCATTTTTTTTAATACTTTCTATATTTTCTTCAATTTAATTTAGACAATTATAGTTCATTTAAATTATTTAATAACAATTAATAATGAATAAACATGAAACAGTAATTAATATTTTCAAATTTGATAATGATTTTTCGAACCTTATAAAATGCTTTGACAAACTTGATAATATATATTAAGTATAATATTACATTTTATTATTATAAATAATAGAATTATATTATGAATTATTAACCGATTATAATTAATTAAATCTTAATCATTATTATAAAATTTAAACTAATGAAAGCAATAATGTTAATTGTCTTAACACTCTTAGTGTTAGGGAATTCTTAATCAATGGACATCCATGTTAAAGATGTCTATTTAATTGTTAAAGGAGTTGTGGAAGGTGTATAAGTAGATGATCATGTTGAAGTAAAAGAGATTGTTTCTTGTTTGAATGACTCTGAAGAATTAATAAATAATATTGTGAAGGCTATTACAAATTTAGAAACTCAAACATTTGATGGAGTTAAGGAAGGAATAAAATTAATAGGAGTAGCTATTCAATAAATTCCAGATGCAATCACTGCATGTTAATCTGGATCTGAAGAGATGGTAGCATTATCAAGTATATAATTATAATAATAATTAGAACTTCTAACAAATATGCTTGAACAATTAAGAAACCCTTGGACATTTTCTTTTAAAATTGGTTATAATTTAATTGTTAATGGATTGGACATTTATTAAGAAATTAGTAATTAATAAAAATTAATCCTAGGTACTGCTATAAAAGACTGGAAATCAGAAATTTATGAAGATTTTGGTAAATAGATTGGATTTGTACTTGTTTAATTGCTTAAGGAAACTAAAAATACAGAGGCTCTTATTTTTGATTATGAAGTTGTTGGAATAATATTCGAAGGATTACTTGATGGAATAGTAGATGCAAGTGGAATTAAAGCAGATGACATTAAATCTTGTTTAAATTTTGCTGATGTCATTGTGATAGATTTTGAAAAAGCTGTTAGACTTTTAGAAAATGGATCTGTTTCAAGTGTTATATAGGCTTTATAATCATTTGTGGAAGGTCTCTCTGAATTTCCAAAAGCACTTGAAATTTGTTAATCTAGTTCTTAAGAAGCTTTAAAGTTAGCTGAAAAAATTAAGGAGTTAATTGAGGCATTATCAAATCCAACTTCATTCATATATCACATTGGAAAAGATTTGATTATTAATGGAAAGGATATCTATTAAGAAGTATTACTAATTATAAGTATTTTTAGATTTTTGCAGCTGTGGAAGATTGGAAATATGGAAATTGGAATGATTTTGGTTTCTAATTAGGTAAGGCAATGGAATAAATTTTCATTGGACAAAAATAAGAGATATTATTATATCAACTATGAAATATATTTATTTCATACTAATTATAAAAACAATATATTATTTTTTTTTAATTTCTATTACTCATGTACAATTAATTTTGCTATTTTATTGTTATAATAAAAATAATTAATCAAATAGATTAATAATTAATTTATTATAAAATTCATCATTTTTTATTATTTTCTCAAACATAGAAATAAACAGTTCCATTAATTTTTCTCTCTTAGGTTAAAACCATAAGTTCAGGATCTTAAATAATATTCCAAATAGAGATTAAGGATATCATAGTTACATCTACCAGTTGTAAGTAGTAAATATTTTACCACCTTATCTATTCCAATTAATTTTACCTGGTTTATAAACTCTCTTCATCTCAGAAATTACCTTTTCAGGGTTTAAATAATATTCCAAACCAAAAGTGTCTAAGACAGTGTTGAATATTCGAATGTATTATCTTTGAAACTCATATTTTTAACATCTTCCAATGTATAAAATATATTAATGTTTGATGTAAATTTTAATAATGCCACCTCTAATCTACAGCTGTTAAATCACTGATAATGTTTAAGATTTCTAGATGTACCAACACCTGTTTCTAAAATCTTCTAAACATGTTTTAATCAATGTTTTACGATATGATGCCTACTATTAAAGTTTTTCATATAATTTTGTTTGTTTACTCGTAAGAATCAAATGTTAGATCATAAACATCAGCGGCATTCTAATGTTATTAAAGCAAATATTATCTTTTATCAGGGAGAGTGTTAGGATATAATTCTTTAAACTATTTTGCTTCATTTATTTTATAACTTCCATATGCAGCAATCCCACAAAGAGCTTTTCAATTTCTTATTCTAATTACCTACTGAAGCTCCATAAATCTGCCAAATCATAATTAATTATAAAAAATATATATTTAATACTAATCCATTAAAATATTTTAAAATAGTTTTAGTTTCTCAATAAATTATCTAAACCTTTATCATTGATTGCAAAGATTCTGTTATTAAAGTGAATTTATAAATATAATTGAAAGATTTTAGAAGATCTTTTAGAATTTAATTTCAGTATATTCAATCTAAAATGTATAAAAAAATAAAAGATTTGTTCAAAATAAACTACTATAATATTTTTTGAAACTAATTTCTTTTTACAAAGCGTTACATAATCTGTCGATTTATAATAATTTAAATTATATAAAAAGATTTTTTGGGTTTTCACAAAGTTAAATAGGATAATGATTAAGAATCATATAACAGAAAAATATAAAATTGGTTTGTAAATAATAATTTATATTTAAATGGAATTAATTAAAAATTATATAATAAATTTTGGTTATTATAATAGTAAGTGAATTAAAATAACCATAATTTTTATAGAATGAAAAGAATTAATCAGAATTAAAATGTGATGTAGAGTTAAAATTCAATAATGTTGATTAGGATTGCAATAATAAAAATAAGAATGAGTGAAGAACATCCAGCAGTAGTAATAGATAATGGTTCTGGTTAATGTAAAGCAGGAATGGCAGGAGATGATGCTCCAAGATGTTGTTTTCCTGCAATAGTAGGAAGACCTAAACATTAGGGAGTGATGGTAGGAATGGAAGGAAAAGAAGCATATGTAGGAGATGAAGCTTAAGCTAGAAGAGGAGTTTTATCATTAAAATATCCAATAGATAATGGAATAGTTAATAATTGGGATGGTAAGAAATAACATTTAAAAATAATTAGACATGGAAAGAATATGGCATCATGCATTTTTTAATGAGTTAAGAATATCTCCAGAAGATCATCCAGCACTTTTAACTGAAGCTCCTATGAATCCAAAAGTAAATAGAGAGAAAATGACTCAGATTATGTTTGAAACATTTAATGTTCCATCATTTTATGTTTAAATATAAGCTGTTCTTTCATTGTATGCTTCAGGTAGAACAACAGGAGTGGTTGTAGATTCTGGAGATGGTGTAACACACACTGTGCCTATTTTTGAAGGATATTCATTACCTCATGCTATTTAAAGAATTGATTTAGCAGGAAGAGCTTGTACATAATATCTTGTAAGTATTTTAAATGAATTGGGAATATCATTTACTTCTTCTGCTGAATTAGAAATTGCAAGAGATATGAAAGAAAAATTATGTTATGTTGCATTAGATTATGATGCAGAAACTAAAAATTATAAGGAAAGCGCTGCAAATAATAGACCATATGAATTACCAGATGGAAATGTTGTTGTCATTTAAAATTAGAGATTTAGATGTCCTGAATTATTATTTAAACCTAACTTTATTGGATTAGAAGTGCCAGGAATTCATGAATTAACATTTAAATCTATTATGAAGGCAGATATTGATGTTAGAAAAGATTTGTAATATTTTAATCTTAATATAAATTAGATATGGAAATGTTGTTATGTCAGGAGGTACAACTATGTTCCCAGGAATTCCAGAAAGATTAAGTAAAGAATTAACAACTTTGGCACCATCATCAATGAAAGTTAGAGTAGTAGCTCCACCTGAAAGAAAGTTTTCTGTTTGGATAGGTGGCTCTATCTTATCATCTCTATCAACATTTTAAGCAATGTGGGTGACAAGATCAGAATATGATGAAACAGGACCATAAGTAGTTCATAGAAAATGCTTTTGATTAAATATATGGTTTAATTTAATTCAACTACATTTTATCTTTATAATTCATCTTCTACTTAATGGACCTGCACTTCCTTATCTTGTAATTTACTTTGGATCCCTTTAAGATATTATTTATAGTGGGTTATATCTATGTGCTTAAGCTTAATGTTGCAGAATTGGTCTAGCAATTCTATTTGGGGCTAAAGGTGGAGCTTGTTAAATCTCTGATTAACCTGTTTTTTTTATATGCAATTAAGATATTTAATTAGTATAATTATTTTTTGTCTAAATACTATTACTTTGATTGTTGATTCTCTGCGAAGACTCTGATCTTTTTGTTTTTTTGGTATAATTATCTGATGGTAGATTTATTTGTTTGAGATTTTTAGGTATTTATATGGTTTATAGTAGATCAATCTATATTTTACCATCCACAACAGTTTAGATAGCTAGATTGCCACTATTTTTAATAAGCAAAGATGATTTTAACAGTTGATCACAGTTTAATCTATCTTTTGGTTTAACTTTTAACATAAAAGATATAAATTGATTTAGATCCTGATTTATAATTGGTTCAAACTGTCCTGATTATATTTTATAATTCAAATCCTATAAGTCTTTCCCATTAAATGGAGGATTTCCTTTGGCTAATTCATAAAGCAAACATCCAAGTGACCAAATATCACAAGGATATGAGTATTATATACCTTGCCAAACTTCAGGAGCAGCATACACTAAATATATAATTGTAATTTATACATGGAGTTCCAATAACAGTTTTAGCCATATTTCCTTTAGCAATTTTGCTAATATTGAGATCACCAATTTTGTATTAATAACCTGTTGGAGTATTAACTACTAAAATATTAACTAATTTAAGATCTCTATGTAAGATTTGATTATCATGTAGACATTTCAATCCTAATAATAATTGAACAGCAACTTTCCAGATTTCTTGAGTTGTTATGAGATCTAATTTTACAAGTTTAAGAAGATTGCCTATTGGAGCGTATTCCATTACGATGTAAAGAATGCAGCCATCTGAATCTAAAAATGAATCTTTGTATTCAATAATGTAGGGATTGTTGATTGATGCAAGAATTCGAATTTCATTGAGAGTGTTTTATTTTTCATTTTGAGTTTGAAGTGAGAGATTAACCTTTTTTAGAGCATAGAATTAATTATCAAGAATTCTTTTAACCTATTTTAAAGTATGATTAGGATTGTTACTTTATAAACTTGACTAAAGGTACCTTCTCCTAATTACTCTATCACAATAAAATCCTTTATTGTAGTGGGCATTAATAAAAAATATATATAAAATGGAAATAATCATTCACACATTCGAGAGATTCTTTGGCCCATTTGATTGGAAGCGTCTTAAGACTGATGTACTTTGTTAGTCCTTAGTAAAAATGTGAATGATTTTTGTTTAGGTAGAAGAAGGCTTCAGTCCTAAGGAAGCTAAAGAACTATCTTGGTTATATGGCCATAGAAATATTGGAAGAAACTTTGGTATGAATAATAAATGTATAGTGTAGGATTTGTGTTGGGTATTGGAGTTGCTTATTGTTGTAATAGTTGGATTACAAGATGGACTTATAATATTCCTTACCTGAGACTCCATCGTTCTTCATTATGGGTGTCCAGAGCATTGGTAGTGTTTGGTACACTACAACTATTTGATTACTACTCAACTGCAAGAAGAAAGGGAGGAGATTCAGGTTTGGGACATGATTTGATGTGGGTTAATACCAGATATACAGAATCTAAAGAAAGATTTATTAGAAATTTTGAAGTTTTAAATAGAAAATTGTCAGATATTGAGAAGGAGATCTTAACAGTATGATTTAATCTTTATAAATAAAAGGCAAGACAAATTCAGTTAAATTCTCCAATAAAAGATAGAAGATGGGTTTATAATCCATATATTCATGGCTCAGATGAAGAGGCATTTTGGAGCAATGTAAGAAGAAATTTCTTAGATAAATTACCTCCATGGGAGAGATATGATGTTTAATAATAGTAATAAAATTAATAATTTTAGGATTGCTGCTGATAACAAAGAAAAGATTGCTGAAGGTGAATAAATTAGATTGAAACCTTACAAATTGACAGACGATGTTGATACATCTGGTGTTAAGTTTGGATTCAGAAGAAACCCATTTGTTAACAATTGGACTCCACTTTAGTGAGTATTTACATTTATCACAATAAAAACAATATTATTCATAGATTGTATATATATAATTAACTAAATGTCAACGTTAAAGAAAACGTTCCAACATAGCTCTAAGAGTATCTGATAGTAGTTGATGATATTGGATGGATCGATTACTCATCAACATTGCTTCATCTAGTGAACTCTAAAAGATTTGAACCAAATGATCTTCAGGACTTTTTAGTTAGAATTGATCATTCCAGAACTTGGCTCCTGTTACTTTTAAATAGATATATGAATTGATCTTACATTCAAGTTTATTAAGGAGAATGCTTAAAGATTCTTTAGCTTGTTAATGAGTATTTTTAGATTAAGTGTAAAAAAGTTCTTTTTCTAAGAGATCGAAGGAAGATTCTAATTACTCATTGATCATAACAATGAGAGTCTCTTAGATGACAGTGTGCATCAAACTCAATAATTATAGAGCTTCATTTTTAGAATTAGTATGGTTGCTTTATTTAAAGAGTCGGTCTACTCCTTTTATAAAGAAATCTAATTCTTCACTAGGGTTAGATTTGAATAGGCCAATCATAATCTTTGACTCCAATAATTCTAAAGTTTTGAAAATATCTTAATTATTTGAAGAATCAACCACTAATTATTTAATTGCCCATTTTTACCTTCTTTTATTTTTTAAAGTAAAAAGTTGTATTCATCAAAGCGCTTCTGGATATCATTTTTAACTTAAAGTTTGATCTTTGCCAGTTCTCTAGTGTCAGTTTCGATCAACTTATCCTTAGACATTGAATATAATTATGATACTTTATCTATAATTAGGCGTTTTAGAAGATTTATGACTTTAAGGTATGTCTCATGAAGAAAGAGTTCTAAGCTATCCTTCTCCTTTTTATCATAAATGAGTCTCTGTTTAAGCAATTTTTGAACCTAAAGTAAGAATACTATCACTCACATCAGTATAATGTTCTAAATAGATTGTCATTCCTTCCTCTTCAAATAATCTATCTTAATGGGATTTCCATTCTAATTTTTCAAGTGATGTGTAATACTCCAATTAAGAGATGGACTCTTTGATCCCATTCATTTGATTATAGATTTCCATCAAATATTATTCTTAAACATAAGCTAGAACCGGAATCAATAATAAATATAACATAAATTAATTAATTCTAATTGTGTACGCATTACTCTATATCAACTCAACCATCCTCCTTACCACTAAAACTTTCTAATATTAATAATTAAAAAATGTCAAAATCATCTGTAATTGATGTATTCTTAAGAGTTCGTCCAACTAAAAATCCATCCAATCTCTTTAAACTTAATAAAGATGAGGGTACGGCTGAATTCACAATTCCCAAGAATCCAGATTAAGGTTATATTAATAACCAAATTGAAAAACATACATTCAATTTTGCAGGAGTATTTCCAACTGATACTACATAAGAAGAAATCTTTGATAAAATAGCAAAAGATGTGGTTGATTCAGCTATTGAAGGTAAATAAATCCTTATTTTAATAAAGGTTACAATGGAACAATATTTGCATATGGATAAACAGGATCAGGTAAAACTTATTCTATGACTGGAAATCCTGAAGCTAGATCTTCTGCAGGTATTATTCCACGTACTTTATATCATATCTATGATTATGCACGAAGAGAATAAGAATTGGTAAAATTAATTTCAAATATCAAATTAGATAATAGATGTAACCATCAGTTATCTTGAAATATATGGAGGATCTGGATATGATCTATTAGTTGCTGATAATAGATCCAGAAATCTTCATGATTTACCAAAGGTATAAGCTATGGCAACTGCTAATGGATAAACTATATTATAAGGATTGTCATTGAAAAAAGCATAAACTGAAGAAGATGCATTGAATTTACTCTTTATTGGAGAATAAAATAGAGTTATTGCTGAAACACCAAAAAATGATGCTTCAACTAGATCACATTGCATTTTTATTGTTATTTTAGAATGTCGTAAACCAACTTCAGATGTTAAAACTGTTTCAAAATTATGTTTAGTTGATCTAAGTGGTAGTGAAAGAATTGGTAAAACTGGAGTTGAAGGCATTCTTTAAAGAGAAGCTACAGGAATTAATCTCTCTTTGCATTTTCTAGAATTAGTTATAGATTGTTTGAATAGATAAGCTAATGGTGAAAATATTCATATTCCTTATAGAGATTCATTGATGACTCTTGTATTAAAGGATTCTTTAGGTGGTAATTGTAAGACAAGAATGATTGCTACAATGTCTAGTGAACCTGATGATTTACCTGAATCTATATGTACTTGTAGATTTGCAGGAAGAGTTGCTAATATCAAAAATAAAGTTACTAGAAATGAAGCTGTTGATCCATTCATCATTATTGAAAAGTTGAAAAGAGAAAATTAATAATTAAAAGCTGAACTTGCTATGATTAAAGGTTAAAGTATTAAGGATCATCTTGAATCTTATGAAATTGATGAGTGTAAAAAAAAAGTTGATGAATTCTTAAATTCAGATGATCCTGCAGCTATTCTTGTTGTTAATGATCATCTCAAAATGAATGAATGTTTTTTCTAACTTAAACATATGCTTAAAAATCTAAATAAGAAGACTTCCTCTTAACCTATCGCTTAGTAACCATAAATTCCTATTGTTAATAATACAGTTGAAGTTCAATAATTAAATGATGAAGTCTTGAGATTAAAACAATTAATTATACAAAGAGATAATGAAATTATGATACTTTTAAATCTTATTTAAAAAGGGAAAGGTTCTAATGCTAATCAATCATTGGTACTTTAAGGACCTATATCAGAATAGCCTGAAATTCAATAAGCTAATACATCCAGTATTTTATAACCAATTGAATTTCCAAAATAAGCTGAAATTGATAGATAGAGTTAAATTATAACTGAAAAACCTGCAGTCAAAAAATAGAATTTTATGTAAGGCAGTCTAGATAGTGAACCCATGAGTCAGACAACTAAAACTACCACAGTGCAATTCAAAGAATTAAATGGAATGTTATCAGAACCCATTAATATTTCAAATGAATAATTACTTGATCGAAATTCTGCTTTAGAAATGTTTAGAAAATCTTATCGAAAAGCATAAGCTTAAGAAGATCTTAAGTAAGAATTATAAGAAAAGATGATGACTAGTAAAGATTTAGGGATGTTTATTAATAATCAAAGAAATGTTATCAGTTAATTAAAAGATAAGATAGAATAAACAAGAAAAGAATAAGTCTTACTTGGATTAGTCAGTAGTGATCCTAATCAAGTGAGCACAGAAGAAGAAAAACTAATTGCTGAATATAACAAATAGAAAGATATGTAATTAAATATTAAATATTAAATAGATATAAATAATCGTTTGATAAATTGAAATAATTAAAGGCAGAAGTAGAGAGGATGAGTACATAATTGAAACACAGCAGAGAGAAAATGTAATAAGATTTTGAGAAATGGATTGATATGATGTTGAAATAGAGGAATTTGAGTATGGCTGCAACATCAGTATTGTCTGATTTTAAGAATTTATCCTAGAAAGGAGGGGAGGATGTTAATAGTATGGTGCAGTAATTCTACAAAAATAAAGAGATATGTAATTAATTATTATAAAAATGATTACTTTTTAATATTTGAAATTTTGTTTTGGGATAATGTTTATGATGATACATATATAGATCATTCTTTGATTTAATACTTCTTTCTCATTTCGAAGTACTTTCTATAATTTTAATCTCTGGATCTAGATACAACAATATCTTTGGCATAGAGGTAGGAGTAAAACATTTGTGTCAAAGGCATTCCTTGACGAGCCAATCTTAAATCAAAAGCAATAATTACTTATCATTATTATATCCTGTATTAATAAGACCACTTCCTTCAGAATTTTTACCAGCTGTTAAAAGATAATATTCTCTTTTTTAGATTTGATCTAATTATTAATTATGCTTAAATTACTTGATTCCAATTTGTATTTATAGAGTGTACCAATCACACCTAAGCCAAGCATAGTTGTGATAATACGTCCTTTTGGTTATCTAATACGATATGTCTTCCAATAAATGTAACCAAATGGATTTTTTATCAATCTGAAGAAATTCTTGAAAAATCTCCTCTTGTTGCCTCTATCAATAAATTTCTTTTGCATCTAAAGATTATAAATGATATTCTCACTCTGAATTTCTCCATTTCCCAATCATATGCTTTTCCCATAGATCTCCAAATCATCTCCAATCTCTCTCTCTTATTTGGAGCATGATAATAGAGATAATGTTGTCCAAATGTACGCATCTTTACATCTGCATCACCTGTTGATTGGTCACGAATCCAAATGTAGTCTTACTACATACGCTCTTGTGCGTTGGTCATTTTAAATCTTTTTTAATAATAATATCATTCATAGTGGAATCGTGAATCAGCAGGCAGATTTTGGGCTAAACGTTCATATACATTCATACGAGATCTCTTAGAAAGAGCCTTAGTTGCATAGTAGGCATTCGAGAATGGACTTCTTGAAAACAAGTCAGATTTCCTCTTCTCTTATCTATGTTCCTGAACTAGCTAGCTATATAAATATTACTCTTCTATTCTAAAACACTGTCATTTTTCTCTATTACTTAATTGAACAACGGCCTTAAATTAAATCCATAATCCTTTATTGATTGACTTCGCAACTTATTATCCATCACTATCCGAAACATTGTTTTTCGTGCTTAATTCATCACTTTCTATTTATCCTCAAATGAAACCTCCTTTGCATCTATTGTGCTTTTCGATTAAGATTAAGGTTTTTTAGTGATTTAACTTGATTTCATCGTTTAAATCACAGGGCTCTATTATTGGATGGAACATTTAAAATTTTTAAATTGCTTGAACATCTCTTATAATTAAGATAGATTCTGTATTTTAGATCTCGAAAGGGTTCCCTTGTCTAAATGCCTACTCTTGCTAGTATTTTAACGAAACATAGGCAAATGTTGTTATTGATCTTCATCTAGCTGCAATATCAGCTTTTTATGGTATCCATGATGAGATTGAGAACTCTAAACTTTAGAAAGACTTAAGTATGGCTGATCAGTCATATTTTAGTAATAAATATTAATAAACTCTCACTTAGACCAGAAACCTCCTTCCGTTTTAAATGGTGCTCTATCCAAACCTCCTTTATTATTGAGATTATGCAGAAAATCTATTCCATTGATGACTTTAGCTAAACAATTTTCTAAGATGAAATTTCATAATACTTAAGCATGCTTCTTCTTTTACATTCATAGCACGTTCATAATTCTTAAGACACTTCTTATAACACAACTTATCAATGGTAAGTATCTTTTAACCAACATGAGAAAAATCACGTGCCTCTTCCATAAATAATTGATAATTAAAAATAATTCAATATTTACTCATTTCAGTATTGTTCAACAACAATGATAACTCTTCATTTGTATTACCACTCGGTCTAGGTCTTACTTTTGGTTTTGGAATATTATTAAAACTTTAACGAGTAGGTTCAATATTTTATTTTCCTCTTATTGTAGTTTGACTTGTGCTTTATTTTTTCAATTTATCAGGTGTCTTATATTTTGCAGTTTATTTCTTATTACAAGATGTACTATTGTTTTTATGATGAGAAGAATTGGAAGGTTTTAAAACATCCATTTCGCTAATAAAGCTTTGTAAAACAGTTTTAAAATTAATTTCACTTAAATCTTAACCAGTCTATTAAGATTCAGTTTCATTCATAGTTTATTAATTCATATTATTATTTGATTAATGTAAGTAGGTTGGAAACTCAATTTTAAAGAATTCCTCAGATTAAACACTCTGATCTAATTCCTTCTCTTGAACCATCTCTACATTGACCAAATTCTGATACATTATTTAATCTAAATTAATTTGTTGATATTCTTAGATATCTATTTTATTATCATTTTCATTTTCTTATACCAATTAAAATTAATCAACATTATAAATCTTATTCAAATCAGAGTTTTTATTCTATCCCCTTTCGTGTTATTCAATTTACAATTTTAGTAACTAAGTTTAATAAAACTAAATCATTTATTATAATTCTTAATTTTAAAGTTATTTAACATCAAAATTTAACTATTATTTCATTTCTGATGCATAACTATATAACTAATTATATTAAGTATTTAGAAATAGGATATGATTATTTTATTGTTGTATTTTAAGCTTATTTGATTTATATAATTCTTCTAATTAAAGATATTATTGTTTAACTAATTCAAAATTAGAAATGAGTGTTTTTTTGTTTCTTTCACTTACTTTTAAAGCACTTAAAACTAATTTACCTTAACAATCATGTTGAGGTGGTTTTTTGAGTTTTTAATTAGTAACAAGAACATCACCTGCACCAATACAATGTAGATCATATTTGAATCGATCGGCCCAAGTAATTTCTTTATAAAGTTTGGGAATGCATTGAAAATTTTAAGCATTTTAAGTAGTAATTCTATTTTATAATTATTAGTTTTCAATTTATAATTGACCTAATTGTTATTCGTAATTTTCTTTTTCTTCTGCTCTAATTTTTTCATAATCATGCAATTTTTTTTCATAATCAGAAAGCAAGATTTTTAAGGCTTCATCATCATTTTGATAATTAATATTAGCTAGAACTTTGGTTTCAATTTTTTTAGCATTCATTCCAAATCTTAGTGTGGAAATAGAATAATCAAAATGCAGAGCTGCTGAATTGATACATAAGATAATCAATGTTCTAGAAGATCCATCTAAACTAGATTTAAGAATTTTGGTTAAAGATGAATTTCTAAATGGTACATGACCTTTATCTTCTGCTTTTAAGTAAATGACTTAAGTAAGAAAGAATAAACTTTTATTAATGTATTGACCTTCTTTGACTCTTCGATTGGTATCTTATATTTCTGAATCTTCAAAATGATTAGAAACTTTTTCAGAACCAGCTAAATCTACAAAATTAAGAACACTTTCAGTAACCATAGCACCTTTAAATTAATTATTTTCTGCTTCTAATTATTCTAGAGTTGGGAATTTGTGTGATGATTATTCTCTTCTATATTATCGAATAAAATTATTGGTAATAGATTGTACATAGAGTCTAAAAATGGCATGAGATCTCGAACTATTATGATTCATGGCAGTTTGAGCATAATGTCTATTGATTTCACCTCTTTTAAGAACATCAAATATTTCATTGATAGATGATACAGATTATTCAATGAGTCCTTTGACATAGAATTCTTTCTTTTAATCTTCATTAACTTATAAGGTTTCTTATAGTTTGGATGATGGTTTAAGAAGATCAAAGATTTATTCATTGTAAATTTCAAAATATGAACAACGTAAGACATAAGTCTTATTAAGATCACATTCAATTTTAGTAAATAAATCTTTAAAACTTTGTAATAAGACTCCTTCATCATTTGGTTTACCTAACATAGTGTAAGTTTTGCCACTACCAGTTTGTCCATATAAAAAAATAGTACCATTTATCCCATTAGTAGATCCAAGTACTAGTGATTTAACTTCTTTAGAGTAGATATCTGTATTCTTGCTGTCTTAACTAAAACAATGATCAAAAGCAAAAGTTGTACGACCTTATCCATTAGTAGCTTTTCTTATTTGATTATTTAGAAATATATGTTAATCATGTATAGCCCAAATAGATGGTTCAGGATCAGGACGTATACGTACTGCAACTTATATGTTTTCCATAGTTATTTCAGTTAAATTCAAATATATATAAAAATAATATAAAATTAATGAGTTAAGAATTGCTTCATTGTCCAAAATGTTAAATCAATTTCGATAGATACAATCGAACTCCTTAAATGTTACCAAAATGTGGTCATTCAATGTGTATGTAATGTCTTAAAGAATCTTCTAAAATCATATGTCCTGAAGATGGGTATCAATTCTCAATTTATCAGATTACTCTAACCTTCAGATCTTACTCTCTATCCTATTAATTAAGCTGTCTTCAAAATCATTTGTAAAACACAAGATATTGATCTTCCATCTAATTAAGACAAATTGTAATACTGTCCTTAACACTAAAAACTACTTGAACTTATATGTGTTGATGATAAGTGTAAAATATGTTCTAATTGTGCATTGTTTGGAATTCATAAATAACATAACTTTTTAAATGCTGAAGTATATATATTTACATATCATCTTACAAGTCTGTCAATAAATCAATATAAGATAATCTAATCCAAACAGAAAATATCATTCTTACTATCTAAGATAAAATCAAAAAACTCAAGTTACCACTCATTAATTAAAAGATTCATGATTAAATTAGACTTTGTATTAAATAATAATAAACTCTTGCTGAAGAATAATTTAAAGTATCTTATTTCATTTATTCTAGGAAATCATTAATTAAATCCTTCTCAAATAACAAAAAGTACTTGAAGAGATTGAATTAAAGTATAAACTGTTAGAGGATCAATTTATAAAAAAGGAGACTATTATTATCACTTCCATTCTTGATAAAGCTGACATCTGGATTCTTGGGTATCTATTCATTAATATTATTAGATCTAATCAAAAAATCTAAGAATATTACAGTATTAAAGAAAAAGGAGAAATCCCATTCGCCTTCTTACTCTAAGATTCTTCCACATAATAAGGAATGTAAATCATAGAAGATATAGATGATTATCTACTCAAATTTCAAAATAATCTTTTAGATATTATATCTGCAATACCAACTATTAATCAATATGAATAATCGTATTTTGATGAACCTAATATACTTAAAGATTTATCAATTATAGATTAAAGTTTCTTAAAAGAAATTGATGAATTACCACCTCATAATGAATTTTTAGGATCATCTCTACCAGAGTCTACTTGTCAATCTCAACCTTCCTCTAATAATATCTCTTAAAATGCGATCAGTCCATAATAACCTCATTAAAAAAGGGCATCCTAATAATTTGCTTTGGTCTCTCCTAAAATATCAACTAGATAACAATCTGCATCTCCAAAAAAACCAGTGCATAAAAAAAAATTAAACACAAAAGTAGAATCAATCTTATTGAATTGTAATGGTGACTATTTAGATCTATCACAATAAGGTATTTCTTTTATAAATATATCAGAACTTGGAGATGATGAAATCATCATATTAGAAGAATAAATTAGAAATAAGAAAATAAAGTTTATAAAATTAATGAAAAATCGAATTAGTGATGTTGGTGCTATAAAATTAATGGAATTGCATAGTTAAGTGTTACATTTACAATCAAATGTAATTACTGAGAAGTTTTTAGATATGATAATGAATGCAATACAAAAATAGATACAGATTCACATAAAAACTATATATTTGGGTTAGAATCTAATAAATTAGTTTAGAGTAAAAAAGAAAATAGAAGATCTCAAAAAATTAGGAATTTCAATTTAATTATGAATGAAAATAATATGTAATATTAATTAATTTTTTATTAATATATTTGAATAATTGGTTGAAAGGGGAGTAGATAAATAATTGAAAGTGGTAGTAAATAAATGTGATTAGATAATTTGATTTAATATAAGTGTTTGTGATAATAAAAATTAATAAAAATAAAATTTATTAATGAGCAGACCTTACTCACCTACAAGAAGCAGAGCAGAAAAGATTGTTGGACAATTAAGTGAATTAACATTAGGACGTAAAGATTAAGTATTTGGTGTTTGTTTGATTGAAGACTTCAAGAATAAAGGAAGCGGAGGAGAGAGTAGAAATATTAGAGACAGCAATAAAGGATCTAAAAGAGACTTTAGAGGGAAAGATAACAAAAATATAAGAGGGATTAGAATATGTTTAATAGGTGTTAAGTGAATAAGAACCAAAAGAGGAAGATGAATAATAGATGGTAGAGGATATGAAGAAGGCAGAGGAGAGTGTAAATGAAAAGTTAGAGGAGTTGAGCAAGTAGAGAGAGGAGAGTTAATAGAAGTTTAATGAATAAGTGGAGAAAGATATTCAAGAATTGAAAGAACAGATAACTTAGGAGAAGAATGAGAGAAATTAATAAATAAAAGAGATTAATGAATGTTTAGAGGTAGAATGTTGAATAAGTATAAAAGAGTGATTTACCACAGTTATAAGATATGTTGTAATAGAACATAAAGGAGAGAGATGAGATGGATAGAAATATAAATAATAAATTAAGTGAAGAATTATAGAGATTGTCATAGATAATCTAATAAGAGAGAATCAATAGATAGTAAGGAGAGTAGAGTTTATTTGAAATGTTGAAGGATGTTGTTAATAGGATAAAGAAGGAAATAGATTAAGATAAAGTTATGAGAGAGGCTACTGAGAATGATATCCTGAGTGTTTTAGAGGAGACACTCAATAAAATTTTAGCAGCTCAAGATCATTGATATATATAAATATTATATAAGATAATATAATAATAAATAATTTAATGTAAAATTCAGATAATTCAGATGAATGTTATAGTGATGATTAATAAGAATCACCTAGGTTTCTATATAATTTTAAAGACATAAATTTATAGAACAAAACTTTATTGGCTGAAATTAGAATCATATGCAAAAACTTAATCTATGTGATTGGTTTAGCTCCTTCAATAGCAAAAGAGGAAGTATCAAATATTTAATTAAGTTAAAAGTAATTAAAAAGACCAGAATATTTTGGTCAGTATGGTTAAATCCAAAAATTAATTGTTATTTAGAGTAATACTTTTAATCCACCTTCACATGCTGCTTATATTACTTATAGAAATGAGTAGGAAGCATCTCTAGCTATTTTAGTAAACATTATATTTAAAATTTATGGCGTGTGAAAGATTTCCACTTCATGATAGATATGTGAAAGCATCTTTTGGTACAACCAAATATTGCACCAATTTCCTTAAAGGATAGTAATGTAAAATTAAAGACTGTGTTTATTTGCACCAACATCCAAAGGATAAGGAATCTACACAAGTCATTAAAAAAGTATTATGCCTCTATTCTATGCCAGGAAGAGATGAATAATTCTAAATGGCTCTTTTCTTACTCCCAAAAAATAGCATAAGAAAATTTCCAAAAATTCTATACCAAAATTAACTACAAAAATGCTCTATAAAAATCTATCTTCCTAAATACTTAAAATATTCTTGATAGAATGATTGAAGATAACATTGTAGATCGTATTCCTGAGTAGCCATAACCTCAATTATAACAATAGATCCAAGAAGAAACATAACCAATCGAAATTTCTATATAATAATAAAAACCAATAGATATTGAAAAACGATTGGAAGCAATTATATAAAAAAGTATCATTATTTTATTATTAAAGTGGATGGAGATAGTAATTCGAGATTTAAATTTACAAATGGAAACTGTCCATAAGATTATGAAGCAATTCAATAATTGAAGTTATCACTTCAAAAATGATTATGGAAAAAGTAAATAATAATAATAATAACATTTAATCAATTTCTTTTTTATTTTTCATAAAAAATATTTAAATAATATTTATTCTTTAAATTAGATCAATTTAAAAATTATAAATAGCTTCTCAAAGTTTTTAATATATAAGATAATATTGATATGGTTTTAATTAAATAAGCATATGTTCATTTCAAAAGAATTGATCTATTTGGAATAGATGTTAGATTATTAGCATAAGGTTAATAAGCATATAGAACAAATATTGGTGCAATTATGACATTATTTTTATTTATTTTGTTAGCTTATTCATGTAATTCCTTTATTTTAGAAATGAATCAAGGCAAAAATGCTATTTTAAATTCTAAAGAATCTGTGCTTCTTTAAAATGAAGTAAATATAATTTAACAATTTAAGGGTTTTAGTTTTAACTCATCATAATTTATATATGCTATAGGACTTGTTGACAATGCAGGTTAATACATTCCAAATGATAATAATCGTATCTTTTCAGTTAGCTTTTATTATTGCAACAAATCTTTAATAGAAACATCCTGTGAAAGTTTCCCTGCTGTGATTTGCGGTAGTCGCATATCAGAAGTTTCTAAAGTATGAATTTTATTCATTTTATTAGCAAATGAATGTTCCTGAAGACTATTAGTATATAACATATTGTCCTGATAATCAATTTACCTAAACTCATGAATCTATTAGATTTTAAGGATCTTAAAGAATGGATAACTATACTTTTTTAGGTGCTTTTATTTCCAAATGTACAAATTCAACAGAAATTGCAAGTATTATTACTTAATATCAAATTAGATTGTGCCTCTGAAGAAGAAATTACAAGATACTTGTCTAATGCTAATTTATATTATTCATATTCATTTTACTAATTCAATAAAGAATTGGATCTTTATCCTTATGAGAAAATGTAAAACTTAGATGTCACTCCATGTTATCCAAATATACGAAAATACATCAAAGTTTTTTTTTAATATTCTGTAACTACTTCTGAATATAATCCATTTTATTTTTTTCCTTCTACTATATTATAAGATGCTATTGAATATTAATAAACTACTGTTGATACATTTCTTGATTATAATCAAGATAATACTTTTGCATAAATTGAGATCAATTTAAATGTAAAGAAGAAACTTAATTATATAACATTTCAAACTCTTATGGATGTTGCTGCTAAAATAGGAGGATTCTTCACAATACTTCGAGCTCTTTTTGAATTACTTCTCTTTCCAATCTAAGTTATCATCTATCGACTTTATCTAATCAATTGTCTCATTAATTAACAATAGACATTCACTACTTTAGAAAATATAGAATAAAAAGAATTGCAAACCAATTTTTCTAGATTAAGAATTAGAGATCTAATAAGATATTCTAAAGCTAGATCTACCTATTTTAACTATTTAAAAATAGTAGAAAGACTATTAGACATTACTGAAGTTTTATCTAATCCTTTAAGATTGACTAGATAAGTTGAAGATTTATAAGGATCCATACGTAAATTTGATCCTGGGAAAAAATAAATTAATGTAAGAGCTGCTTTAGATGAAATTATTGCTAATAATGATGCTCAAGATATTCAAAGCATGAGTCCAAGATCAATTAATTAAGAACTTAAACCTGTCATTTAATCTACTATTCATTTACATAGACTTAAGCCAAAATGATACCAAATAATTATAAATTTTTTGTGATTAATTATAATTGTCGATTCCTTTTATAAATTCATTAAATTTCTTAAACAATATTCCCATTAAATAAATCTTCCAACTCTTTTTATTTTTTTCCCTTCAATTTTTTTTACTTATTTTAATCAAGCTATTAAATAACACAGAATTTATCATAAAAAAAATCATTAATTTTACACTTTTGCTTTTGAATCAAACTATTATTAATCAAAAATTTTTTAATACTTTTTAAATCTTATATATTATTTTTATCAACTTACATTCATGCCTTCTCTTCTTAATCTATATCTTAACTTTTTATTTTTTATTTTTCAATCCTTTTTTTTTTAATTTTGCTTCATCTTTTTTGATCTTTTTATTCTTCATATCTTTTTTATTTTCTCCTCAAAATAATCATATAATTTATTGAGTCCTTATAAAAATTCCTTAAATAACGATAAAATTTTCATAAATTTATGGGTTTTATCATATTTCTTTAAATTCTTTCATGAGAATTTATAATTATAATTAAATCATTAAAAATTATTAATAAGAAATTCACTTTTTTGAATCTATCTATCAGAAAAAAACACACCCTTTTTCTCATCATTAAAAGCTTTTGTTAATCTGAAAGAATTTTGTTCTTTTAGTTACAATCTTGAAATAATAAAATTTTATTATGTTGTTGATGCTACTTGTTATTTTGGAAATGCTAATTTTGGAATTGTTTAAAATATAATTTTCCCATTTCGTTTCCTCTTTAATACTCTAATATCTGGAGTACATTTTCTAAATTGATCATATTCCATTACAGCATGCTAACAAGCATCTATTAAACTTCTATTTATGCTTATGTTTTAGAATAGCATAAATCCTTGTAGTTTATTTTTATGGATTTATTACATATTCTAAGCCTTCTTTTCATAATTAAAACCCACAGTTTCTAAATATTTTTCATCCTTTATTATTTTATCCTTTCCCTATATTTAATGTTCAAATTATGATCTACTCTTTTGTCTTGAAGTTCTAATTTATTTCAATCGTGAAACTTATAAAACTTCCATATTATAATTTAATTATTTAATATGTGTTTTTGTTATAGTAATCTCTCTAATTAGTCTTTTTAATTGAAATTTTTTTTTTTTAGAATTCTAAACAAAAGGAACTAAACTATCAATATTCAGTTAACTTTGGATAAAAATAATCTAATCTCATCAAATCTAAATATTATTTAATCACAAATTAAAGATGATAAAATTTGTTAAGAAATCAATCTACTCTTAATGGTAATATTAAAAAGAATAGGTAGAGGTTTTAATAATTTTATATAATAATCTAGTTTTTAATATTTTAGAAAGTAATTCTGTAGGGCAAGATAAAAGATTTTAATGAAAAAAAGTAATCTGTAGATATCATTTAGTTTTGATAATGAAAACTAAATCCTTCATCTAAATAGTTTTTTTAGTATTCATTATTAGTAATAGAATTATCAACTCTTTTATGTTAGCAGTTTAATATTAATAATAAATTAGAAAATTCTAAGAAATACTTTTTTTTATTTCTTAATATAATTCTTTTTGGAAAAATGTGTAATCAAGTATTTATAACCTAAGTTTAAAAAGTAATTATCCAATATAGGAATTAATTTATTCATTTGATTTACTTTTTGAAATACTCTATTAAAAGATTCACTAAATTTAATTGAACTTAAATAATAAATTTAATTGAACTTTAATAAAATATAAGATGTATTTACATATTTTAAGTAAAAAAACATTGAAAATATAGCTAAACATTTACTGATTGATAAGAAGGTTATTTTTTTTGAAGTATAAAGATATAAAAATGAATCAATATGACAATAAGATTAAAATATGATAGATAATTAGTATTTGATATAATAAAAGTTTAGAAATTATTGGAAATTGAATTAAGAATGATAAGATTTTAAATGATATAAAAATATAAAATGATTGTATATATGAATAAAAGTAGAAATTTAGAAGTTTTGAATGATGAGATGAAAAATAGATTGCTATAATATGTAAAAGTATTTAAGAGAGAGAGAAATATATGTATTTTAATTAATTAAAATTTAACTAATCCGAAATAAATGTAAATCAAAAGTTTTTGCAAGAATTACAAAAGTAACTAATGTTTTTAGAATCATGATTTTGGATATCTTTATTGCATCTAAGACATTTTCTTATAATCTGTTGAATATTGGTTTATTATTCTGCTAATGCCATTCTAGAATAATTGATAGGGTCTTTGAATAATTCACCTGTAGATGATTGGCATCTTTATTTGGAAAGTGAGATGGTTAAGGGGTCCTGATTTGAAAGGAATGAAATACATCTAATGATTACAAAGATCTAAAGAATTCATCATTGTCTAATGATTGTAAAAGTTTAAATACATTTACACATTTGGATTTAAATTCATCAAAAGGCTAATTAGAATATTAATTTTACAGATTATGATGCACAACAAACAAGACATTCTCCAGAGGAATCAACAACATCAATTTCATGTCCACATCCAAGTGTTTTTCGTTTCGGATGACGCATAAATGGTTCTTGTTCTTTTCTAACACTACTAGATTTTTTAGTTTATGAATTATCTCTTTTAAGTGGGGATTTCTATCCTTATAGATCATGTAAATATTTTTCAATTCCTGGATCATTTGCATATAGTAATGCTTTAAATTAGTACAAGGATTTTAGCATTTACTCTCTCTATGGATTATGAGAACTAAGGCGATCAAAAAAAGTGGAAAACAATTCAATCATTGTTGTTCTCTCTACAGAAGACAGTTAAATCATTAAAATTTTAAAATATATATATTAAAATATATTCATTTATGACAACTCGACAATCTTAAACCACTATCTAATTTAGATTTTCTCTCAGCAACTGATATACAAATTACTGGTCTTCGAAGTTTATTTCTATTAAGAATTGATTACATCACATGTCTATTTGATCTAATAAGTATTTTGTCTGACAAATACAAACCGTTTGAATAAAATAATGTACGAGTTGATTCAAAAGGTTCATATGACTTTTATTATTCATATTGAATAATACTCATACTATCTTTTAAGTAAGATCTATAACAATTTTTCATTTAACCACTTTCCTTAATTTCCTATAGAATTCCCAATGAACCTGTTGATTATAGAACTTTCTGTAAACTACATAAGAAAATAAGTACGTTTTTTTATTAATGCTCATAAGTCGACAATTTTAAGATTCACATTCTGCTGTTTCCTAATACCATTCCTATCCCATCAAATCACCTAAAATCTCATTCTAACTGATAACACATAAGGTCTTTTATTTTTAACCTTACTTTATGCTCAATTTTATAGAACCTTCTATTATAATATACAAATTCTTAGCTTATTAAGCTTATTTGTATATTATCTATTTTCTTATAAATTCAACTTCATTCATACATAACATCAACATAATTTTTGCTGGTCTGTTAAGAGAATCAAATATGCTCACTTTATCACATAAAGCTACTAGATTATTTATTCTATATATATCATTCTACATAATATATCGTTTATATTGAGATGCTGTTAAAGTAGAAATGACACAATCAGTTAAACAGATTAATGTTGCCATTCTTGCCTTATTTGATATTATTGAAAGTTCTCCCATTCCTTCACCTTCTTTACATACATTAATCATTGTCAATTGATCTTCATTTTTTACAAAAACCCCAACCTATCCCTTGAGAATTACAAAAAACTTATTTCCCTTGTCTCCAATCTTTGTCAGAATTTCATTAACTGAATATTGCTCTATTTGCATTTTACTTTTTATAACATAATAAAGATCATCACCTACAGTTGCTCTTATTTTCTTAAACCATTCTAAAGAATCCATATTAATATTAAAATATAATGATTAAATTTCTAAGTCTTGTTTCAAGATTCAAGAACTAATCCAAATTTTATGCTTGATAAATAAATATCTGAAACCAAAAATCTATAGATTTAATAAAAATTTGAAGTCTTGAAACAAAATCAACAGTTTATTCATTCTGAGATAATGGTTCATTAAAAGTATGTAATTTTCTAATTGATTGTGGAATTAATATAACCAATTTATGGTACATTTGTTGAATATTATTTGTATCATTGCTGAATTCGCACTCCTTTTTTTAGTTTTTTTACAAATTAAAAGGACTCATTCTCACTAGAATATTATATAGTAAGGTTCTTAATTCATGAACATTGGTTATTTGTGGCAATTCTTATAATCTTATCTATTTGGATGCCTAATTTAACTATATTTTTGCTATTTTTAATATTTCAAAGATTTATCCCTCTAGAAATAATTTATTACAATTGCCATTCTTGTCTAATTTGGTTGTCTACAATCTAAATATACATTATTTTAATTCATTCTTTTCTGTATTATAATAGCTATCATCATAATATTACATCCATAATTTAGATTTTTTAAGTATATTCATTTATTAGATGATTTTTAGAATAATAGAATATGCTATCTATANTATAATATACAAATTCTTAGCTTATTAAGCTTATTTGTATATTATCTATTTTCTTATAAATTCAACTTCATTCATACATAACATCAACATAATTTTTGCTGGTCTGTTAAGAGAATCAAATATGCTCACTTTATCACATAAAGCTACTAGATTATTTATTCTATATATATCATTCTACATAATATATCGTTTATATTGAGATGCTGTTAAAGTAGAAATGACACAATCAGTTAAACAGATTAATGTTGCCATTCTTGCCTTATTTGATATTATTGAAAGTTCTCCCATTCCTTCACCTTCTTTACATACATTAATCATTGTCAATTGATCTTCATTTTTTACAAAAACCCCAACCTATCCCTTGAGAATTACAAAAAACTTATTTCCCTTGTCTCCAATCTTTGTCAGAATTTCATTAACTGAATATTGCTCTATTTGCATTTTACTTTTTATAACATAATAAAGATCATCACCTACAGTTGCTCTTATTTTCTTAAACCATTCTAAAGAATCCATATTAATATTAAAATATAATGATTAAATTTCTAAGTCTTGTTTCAAGATTCAAGAACTAATCCAAATTTTATGCTTGATAAATAAATATCTGAAACCAAAAATCTATAGATTTAATAAAAATTTGAAGTCTTGAAACAAAATCAACAGTTTATTCATTCTGAGATAATGGTTCATTAAAAGTATGTAATTTTCTAATTGATTGTGGAATTAATATAACCAATTTATGGTACATTTGTTGAATATTATTTGTATCATTGCTGAATTCGCACTCCTTTTTTTAGTTTTTTTACAAATTAAAAGGACTCATTCTCACTAGAATATTATATAGTAAGGTTCTTAATTCATGAACATTGGTTATTTGTGGCAATTCTTATAATCTTATCTATTTGGATGCCTAATTTAACTATATTTTTGCTATTTTTAATATTTCAAAGATTTATCCCTCTAGAAATAATTTATTACAATTGCCATTCTTGTCTAATTTGGTTGTCTACAATCTAAATATACATTATTTTAATTCATTCTTTTCTGTATTATAATAGCTATCATCATAATATTACATCCATAATTTAGATTTTTTAAGTATATTCATTTATTAGATGATTTTTAGAATAATAGAATATGCTATCTATATATAGATGGAGTAATATTTATAAAAAAAAAAATATTTCTGAAGATTAATTGGTTGATTAATTTACTAAAACTTTTATTAAATTAAATAAAGGGGAGTTGAAAGAAGAACCTGTCAAAATTTAAAAGATAAACAAAATTTTTATTGTTATAATAGTATTATTATATAAAATTAAATTAAATCACTATTTTTTCTGTTATTTTGCATTTTCAATAAATTACTACCAACGTTTGGTTTATTTTGGAAATTGATGTTGATTCCAAACCAAACATATTTATTTCACATGTTTTTCTTATAATCTATTATGGAATCTTTCCTCCGATTTATCCTAGAACATTTCATCAAATTATCTTTAAGAACTTATTTTCATTTAAGTAGGGCTCATAGGATTAATAGCATCAATTAACATATTTTTACGTTCTTACATTTTCCCTAAACTAATATTTAAACTCATTTATAATTTTTAATCATTTAATTGTTTTTACTTATATCTTCTTGTCAATTAAGCCAATTTACCTTCTGCATTGATGATGGCAGTCATTTTTTGAACCTTATCATAATCTTCTATACATGAAGAATTGATTGATACATCTTCATTATGGGATATCGTTCTTTTTTTATTAATTCTTTTTAATTCTGTCAAAAGATGTCTTTTTCTATAAGTTTACAAATCTTTTAAATTAGGTAGAATATACCATTATTTGATAGAATCTTATTTATTTATTTGTCAAGATTCTTATTTAAATAGTTAAAATTATTTGGCAGATTCAACTCATCTCTAATATGAGTTTCTAATTTTTTTTTACTCTTCTAACCCAATAAACTCAAACTGGCTACATGATTAAGATTAGTAAGTGCAACCTCTGACAATGTTTTTTGATACAAAATATTATCTCTCTCTGTATCAATAAATTAATTTTTTGTTTAAGGATTAAGTACAGGAAGTGGTTAGTCCTTTTTTTTAATTTATTTAAGAGTTTCTTATTGATTTGCTTATTATTTGATTTCATTTCTAAGTTATTCACCTGCTTATGTAATTAAGAGTCGATTCATTAATAAACAATAATTTAAATAGTGTATAGTAAATATAATCATTGATTTTTTAAGGATATAGTTATAGCTTATACTAACTTAATTAATTCAGTGAGTTAAGTAGAAATCAATAAAGATCTGTTCAGATTTGATGATTCAATTTTATTTCTAAGAGCTACAATTTCATTTAATTAAACAACATCAGATAGATTGTGATTTTATTTATTCTTATAATATTTAGATCACGTTCTAAAAGAATCAGATCTATAAGATTATTTGTTTGATTATATTTCTATACTAAATTTTTAATTTAACTTAATGATTAACCATATTTAGGAGGTGATTAGTTAAAAATTTAAGAAGATTGAAATGATACTTTCTAATTAATATATATTTTTTTAGGTTCTAGAGTAGCGTTAATTCTAAATTAAATTTAAAGTTTACTTTGATGATAATCCTTAAGCTTTATGAAGTGAGTAAGTAGGTTCAATAGTTGAATTGTTGAGAACATTTGATAAATATGAATAAGGATAGGAATGATCACGTATACGAGCATAAAGGTTTTCAAAAGATGGTACTTTAGAAAGAGTATTATCTAATCTTTGAGATTGATTATTGTTCCTAAAATTATTAACATTATGAAAATGAGAAGGTTCACATTAATAGAACACTAAATTGATTATAATATTATTAAATGGTTAAAGAATTAAATTATAATTATTTTCATGAATATAGTCATTAAGATTATAACTTATTAACTGTTGTGTGAATGGCTTTCCTAAATGATAAAATATTAAATACTAATTTAATTCTTCTAAAGCTATCAGTTATTTAATACGTCTAGGTAATTATAAGAATTATTTATGTTTCCATTCTCTAGTTTCTCCATAATAATTATCTAATTTAATTTCACAAGCAGATTATAAAGATGATGCACAAGAATCATCTAAATTATCAGGAGGATCTTAATTATAATGAGTTTTTTAATGACGATTTCCTAATAATCGTCTACCTAAATTCTTTCTAAAATCTACACCAGAATCAATTACATTTTAGATATATTTTGGATTCTTTTCAATCATAACACCTTTAGGAGTATTATAAAGATAATCATACAGTTGCACATCACCTATTGTAAGAATACCATCTTAATTTCTTCTATCTGTTTTAGCTGCTTTATGAAACAGTGTGAAATCTTTCCTTTTATTTTATATACTTAAACGAACTAATTTATTTATATTATTTTAATGCTATTATGCTCTCAATTGTAATTCCTATAAATACAACTAAGCATTATTCTCTAATACTGATTTTAAATATTATCTTGGTGGAATTGTCTCAATAAAATCTCTTTATATCTTACAAATTGGTTCTACATTATCATAATTAAGTCTATAATGTTTTAAACTCTTTGATTTTGGCATTAGTTTCTCCTAATAACTTATTGCATTTTCCTTATGATTTGCTATATCCAATATTGTTTAAACTATTGTTAAAGTCTAAGCATTTCCTTAACGAATCTCTTCATTATGTGGTTTCTTTATTGCTACTTTCTCTTTTATTAGATTTCGTACTTTTTAAATTTTACCTTTTAAATAGTTTCTTCTTTATTCTGTTTACTGACGTATTTTTAATGATAATCTCTCTTTATGAGGTATCTACCTTTCAGCTGTTAATCTTGGACAATTTAATGTTTATATTAAACTTGAAACATTAAGATCTCCTTTTAAGTAATCACAAAAATTTTATTCAAATTAATGTCCATGAGTTCTTGTCTCAAATGGTTTATTTGTTATTAAAGGATCTTAATGTTTTTTGAAATGTAAACTCTTGTATTTTCTATGCAAACTTTTATTAGAATGATCAATATCACAAGTTGTTGATATACTCATAAATACTATTTATAAAAATTAATTCAATTTTATCTAATTGAAAGATCGAACAATTATTATTTTGAAATAATAGCTCCAATACTATATGAATTTCTGCTTAATCCTATAATTTTAACTTGAGAACAATTAAATGTCAATTTATAATAAATAATACTAAGTAATTAATTTCAAATTCAAATTCACAATGGGACCTACCCATGATTGTTGACTAAATAAGAAAAAATGCTTGATACAGTACTCTTTTTTGGAAGCTTCGGTGTTTCAGAATGAACACTATTGTTTGGATCTATATATGCTGATACAACACTGCTAAAATCATTCTAATCCAAATTCTTTTTAGATGAATTACTTTCTATCTCATTAGATAATCGTGAATTATTCTTATTGTGTTTTCTATTATTTATCATTACTATACATGTATTTTAATAATTATGGTGCCATTGAATTAAGCAAACTTATTGATGTATTTGTTGATGAAGTGTTTGGTCTAAGAGTGCTTTATTAAATCTAATAATCTTAATTAAGATTATTATTTGATTTCTATAATTTCAATTTCTCAATGAATTCCATTACATATATTCTAACCTTCTTCCATAAGTAACAAGCCTTTCTTTTACTATGATAGTTCTTGGGTTTTTTAATACAATATTTAACACATGGATAACGAATCATAAGATTAACAATTATTTCAATATGTTATGTTTTTAGACTTGATAAATATTCTCTTACAATCTTGGATAATATATAGGTACAATAGAGTAGATTCAACACAGAACATAATATTGATAGAATATAAACCAATGAGATATATTGATTTTTGTCCTAACTGTATGATAATATGAGTGTGACCATGGCTAATTATGTTGAGATTTTATCAATAAAGTTGTATTATTTTTCAATATAAGGATGATGTTTATTGAGTAATTCTAAATAGATAAGTAGAATAAGTATAGCAAATAGAAACATTAGTTTGATGTCTTAGATTAAAAGTGTTTCTAATAGATAAAATAAAGATTTAATGAAGAAACAAACGAATTCCCAGTAATAATAATTGTCTTTGTATTCCACATATAGATATCCATATGGCATACGAAATTAACAAGTCCATAGTTAAGTTCTATTTTTAAATAATTTGATGATATAAAAGAGAGGAGATACAATTCCAACCAAAATCAAGGTAGGTATAATAAGTATTTTTAGGTATAGGTAATATTCTTCTGTATAACACATATAAGATGTTGCTGCTTAAATGTAGTATTATCCTGAGGCTTTGATACAAAACATAAGTTGTAATAGTCCTTCAATGATATCTCCTTAAAAATAGAAGTTAACTTAAATTAGACAGGTGATTAGAATTGTTTTGACTGAATTCTCCATCGATTTTTATTTACATAATTGAATGAGAGAGTATATGAATACAAAAGAGAACACAAATAAAAGTGAAACAAATAAATTCCAGATTTATCTTAAATATACAATTTCTATTTAAAGTTGTGAGTTCAATAAGAAACATTCAATAGAATACCCTAAAGTAGATAAGGGATTACCAATTGCTTAGGCAATGATTTCTATAGGTGTAGGGAAATCAAAATCAATAACTTAAACTATTGAAATCAATTGAAAGTAACTGGAAAATAGTTTAATTAAAATTTCAGTCTAATCTATTACCATATTAGATCTCGTAGCAAAGAATATCCCCATCATTCTTAAATAATGAGCTGACAATTATGCTCTAATTAATCTCAAACTTCCTCTTATTGATATGAATAAAGCTATTAGAATCCAAGAGAATGAGAAAATGATCTTGAATATATTAAAAACATCATTCTCACAATAAGTACAACTACCACCCCAACTACGAGTATAAGAATGATTCCAATGTTTTCCATAGTAATCACAATCATTACATAAAGCACCATTATAACCTTAACTACAAGTAAATTCATCTGATCCACCTAAACATTAACCAAATGATAATTAACAATACTCAATACTATCTGTACTCTTATTAGCCCTCCAATATCCTTATTTTACTATCAATTCTGATCCTCCAGGACATTATTCTATTTAAGTTATACATTATTAACAAGGACTGAAATTATCCAAACTATATGATCCTATTGGACATCTAAGACATGATTTATTCTCCCATTCTTCCCCAATCTCACATTATATGAGATTCAAAAATACTACTAATTTAAATGTATCATTATAAAACTTTAAAGATTTAAACTCAAGCATCATCTATATTGTTTCATTTTTTGGCAATTATTAATAATGCCAATATTGTACTTCATATTAACATTACAATTAGTTAAATTAAAAAATATTCTTTTATATCTCTAGGGAATTTTTATAATGGCAAATTCTATTCTATCCACTATCTAATATTGCTATTCTCAAATCTAATTACTATCCACTCTTATAGTTTTTTATATGTATTATCTGCTTTTTTTTTATTAAATCATCAAATAAATAAGTATCATTATTCAAAACTAAATAAACTGGTCCTGCCACATAAGTTAAGATATCAGGTTCTAATATTTAATCAGTAATTAGAAAAATTTATTTGCTTGTTTTCATAGAGCAGTTGTTATAAAGATTTTATTAAATGTAATTCGATAATTCTGATGTTTAATTTAAGAAGATAACTCCTCCTTCTAGAGATGTAAGGTCAATGAATTGATTTCCATAAATTTTAATTGCTACATTTGATAATACATAAGCAGATCCTAAATTAGCTGTAATATTTTTAAAAGTATTATTGTTGCCAACAAAATTAATGGAATCTTGGATATTGATAAAACCTGAGAGTAATTACGTATTTTTAAATATTGATTTTGATATTTCAATTTGATCACTCTATGTAATGATAAAAATTCCAGTACAATATGGACAATCAATATCTGTAAATTGTAGATCATTAAAGATCAATTTTTTACAATTTTATAGAGTAATGAAATCTTTATTGTTATGAGAGATAGTATTCAAATACATTCCTTTAATATTTATATCAGTTTCTTGTGCATAAATTAATGGACTTAGAAAGTTGCTGATTTAAAATACTTTGATATGATTAAGATCTGCTTAGGAGGCATTTAAAGTCAAGAAGTTACATTCATTACAATTGTTGATTGTAAGATTTCTGATCAATATGGATATCACAGTTTGTAATTTAGCAATATAAATGGAGGAACAATCTTGAATGATAATATTTGTTAATTAAGTAAGTGAGGTTTCTTTTAAGTTGATTAGAGTGGACTTATTGATTTATTAAAATTGAACTTAATCAATATTTAATTCTGTAATGGTTTATGAATAAATAAGTAGTCCAAATAGGGAATTGAATTAACCTTTTGAAAGCGATAAGGTTCCATTAATTTAGAATAGACATCTAATTGAGCTATTTTAGATAGTGAAATAATTAAGTATGACACCAGTTTGATTAGTAGGGGAGATCAATAATGAGCCAACCAATGAGGAGATGGTTATTTATTGTAGAAAGATATTGGTACTATTCAAAGAGAATAACGCTTTGCTCTCAATTTCTGTAATGGTACTATTATATATGGAGACATATTAGCTTTAGGCAATTATCAATTGGGAATCTGATATTACTCGATGAATATTTAAAGTAGAAAGCTTGATTTAGTTTTCACTTGAGAGAAGTATCAAAATACTTTAAGATAAAGTAACATTAAGGATTGTAGTATAGAGTGCTCCCTTGGCTAGAATAGCAGTAGAGAGAGTTAAGTAGGTATTTTGAATAGTGATTTATTATGAGATATCTGTTTCAATCAAAATGCTTTAAACCAAAAATGAATTATTGAGAGTGAATATGTTCAAATAAGTTTAAGGTGATAAAGTAGAATTGATAAAACTCACTTAATCAACAATGACGTTTCTTAAGTAGGTCATTTATGAACTTAGTTAACTTCTAAAAAAAGTGCAATCTGAAATTAATAATCCATCAACATCTATTGGAGATTGAAAGACTGTCCTATTTTAAAATGTCATTCCTATTATCTTACATCCATGAATCTTCATTTTAGTACTCTTAATTTGGTAATTTCTTATGAGTGTGACATTCTATAGTAAAGCTTACCCAATGATGTTTATTGAGTCTGTTAATGTGTCTATTGTGATGTTCTAGAATTCAACTACTTTGAATCCAACCAATGTTACTGTTTATGTCAAAAGTAATTCAGTTCCTATTACTATAAGTTAGCCACCCAAAGATGTCATATTCATTAATTTTTCATTGCTTACATTTAGAGTACAATTGTATTCTGGTATCTAAACAGACTTATCAATTTATAATGTGAGTCCCATCTCATCTTTACAGATCAATAACTCCATTGTGATATACAAATTTATGAACAAAAACAATCTTCTCATCTAAACAAATAATAAATAGTGATTAAAATATTTCAATATACATTCAAAATCATAAAACATCAATCCTTTCTCATTCATAATCAAGCAATACTCATTCTTTATAATAAACTTTTATTTTTTTTAAATTATAGAATACTGCATCCTCTTTGAATCAAAACTTTTATTTTAAAGTACTAGATAATTATTCTAATATAAATAATGTTTAAGCATAAACTATTATTTATTGCGGTCTCTAAGAATTAATATATTAAATAAATATATAATGGAAAAACCTCAAATTATCATATCTACAATAAAAAGAGGAGATGAGATTACTTATCCTAAAAAGGGAAATCATTTACGCATTCATTTTGAAGTTTTCGTACAAAATAAATGGTTTTAATAGAGAGAGACCTAATGGAGAGAAGATTGAAACAACAAAAGATGGTGATCGTCCATTTGAATTTTAAATAGGAGTTGATGATGTTATACCTGGCTTATAATAAATACTTTATAAAATGACAATAGGTGAAAAAGTAAAAGCAGAAATCCCTCCTTAATTTGCATATTAGAGAGAAGGTTTAGCTGGGATAATTCCAAGTAATGAAAAATTAATCATGGAAATTGAATTAANCATTAAGGATTGTAGTATAGAGTGCTCCCTTGGCTAGAATAGCAGTAGAGAGAGTTAAGTAGGTATTTTGAATAGTGATTTATTATGAGATATCTGTTTCAATCAAAATGCTTTAAACCAAAAATGAATTATTGAGAGTGAATATGTTCAAATAAGTTTAAGGTGATAAAGTAGAATTGATAAAACTCACTTAATCAACAATGACGTTTCTTAAGTAGGTCATTTATGAACTTAGTTAACTTCTAAAAAAAGTGCAATCTGAAATTAATAATCCATCAACATCTATTGGAGATTGAAAGACTGTCCTATTTTAAAATGTCATTCCTATTATCTTACATCCATGAATCTTCATTTTAGTACTCTTAATTTGGTAATTTCTTATGAGTGTGACATTCTATAGTAAAGCTTACCCAATGATGTTTATTGAGTCTGTTAATGTGTCTATTGTGATGTTCTAGAATTCAACTACTTTGAATCCAACCAATGTTACTGTTTATGTCAAAAGTAATTCAGTTCCTATTACTATAAGTTAGCCACCCAAAGATGTCATATTCATTAATTTTTCATTGCTTACATTTAGAGTACAATTGTATTCTGGTATCTAAACAGACTTATCAATTTATAATGTGAGTCCCATCTCATCTTTACAGATCAATAACTCCATTGTGATATACAAATTTATGAACAAAAACAATCTTCTCATCTAAACAAATAATAAATAGTGATTAAAATATTTCAATATACATTCAAAATCATAAAACATCAATCCTTTCTCATTCATAATCAAGCAATACTCATTCTTTATAATAAACTTTTATTTTTTTTAAATTATAGAATACTGCATCCTCTTTGAATCAAAACTTTTATTTTAAAGTACTAGATAATTATTCTAATATAAATAATGTTTAAGCATAAACTATTATTTATTGCGGTCTCTAAGAATTAATATATTAAATAAATATATAATGGAAAAACCTCAAATTATCATATCTACAATAAAAAGAGGAGATGAGATTACTTATCCTAAAAAGGGAAATCATTTACGCATTCATTTTGAAGTTTTCGTACAAAATAAATGGTTTTAATAGAGAGAGACCTAATGGAGAGAAGATTGAAACAACAAAAGATGGTGATCGTCCATTTGAATTTTAAATAGGAGTTGATGATGTTATACCTGGCTTATAATAAATACTTTATAAAATGACAATAGGTGAAAAAGTAAAAGCAGAAATCCCTCCTTAATTTGCATATTAGAGAGAAGGTTTAGCTGGGATAATTCCAAGTAATGAAAAATTAATCATGGAAATTGAATTAATATCAATAACATTTTGATAATAATAATATAAGAATCATTACTGTATTAATGGATAAGGATGTGAGTATTCTGTATTCTACTATGAATAATTAATTAAAGAATTACTTATTAAGGAATAAATGGTCTAGACCCTGAGACTGTATAAAGAGTAGGAACAGTTTATTAGGGTGGTCTAACTACAGGTTAAACATATTAAATAATCTATGGTTATGGTATAGTTTATTAAATTGTTGGTTGAGGTACGGTGATTTATTGAATGAAAGGTTCTTATTTAGGAGAAACCATCTTTATCGGGCTTTCTTAATAATAAACTAAAGGTTAAGGAGGTTCTGTCTTATTAATAACTATAGGTTATGGTTAAGGTGGAGGTTGTGCAATTGGTTAAGCTTAGACTTATGGTTAAATATATTATGAGTAAGGTTAAACTTAAGGTATTATTTAAACTATGGGTGGTTATTAACTCTATACTGTAGTAGGAGTCACTTAAGTTTGATAAACTATCTATTAAGGCTACACAGGTTAAGTCATCATCATTCTTTAAGGACTGTAATTATACGGTTGATAATCTGTATGAGTAGGTAAAACAGGATCATATATCATTCTTGATACTCTTCTTATAGGATTATCTCCAGTTCTTTCACCTGGTCTAAAAAAATACTCTCCATCTTCTAATGTCACCATAAATAAATGATGCAGATGAAACTTTGCTTATTCTAATGCTTCATAATTCACTTATATTGGAACTCCTTAATATTTCAATTATGCGTTTGAATTATCTTAATCTGCAAAGTATAATATTGCTTCCTTTAAACAATTATTTGGATCTTTCAATCTCTCTAATTTCTTTATTAAATTTCTCCATTACACAATTTAATCATATTAATAATTCTTATCAGCCTTATTCAATACATCATCAACTATTGTATCTATTAACTTATGTAAGTCTTATCTTATTTACAATATGTCTCCTGTTTAATGAGTAGCTATCTCGTTTGCCTTACTTGCATAACCTTTATAAACCTATGATAATGTACTCTCTATTGAGTCAACTAATATGTTTATATTATTAGATTATTACTATAACGAGAATGTTAATGAGGATGTACCTTAATACAATCTTCACATAATGGCATCAAACAAGATGGTTCTTTACAAAAATGACGAATGTACTAAGGATGATATATGCATCTAGATTAAGGAACCTCTTTAAATTGATAATCTGAACTTATTTTTACGGGCTATTATTGATCGTTAATTGGTTAAAGCACTTACATTTATTTATTAATAATTATATAATATTATCAACTGATCAAGTTTTATTTATTTATATATTTACTACCACTATAGATTTTATTTTATTCAATCGTGATATTCAATCTCTTTCAATTACTTTAACATACATTATAAACTTAGTAAAAACACAATTTTTATTAAAAATATAATCATAAACCTCTAAAAGAGGAGGATATTTTGAAATCATATAATGATTACATCGGAGAGTGATGAACAGTATGAGGTTTCGAATTTTTTATTATAAATTATTTTATTGGACTCTCAAATTAAGGAATAACAAATAATTATCTTAAATTCCTTCTTCCTTTCAGTAAAGAAGTGTATGAATTCTTTTAATCTTTGCTTTTAGGTTTCATTCTCTTTGATTATTGAGTTGAATCCACTCTAATTATTTGCTTCAGTTCCATTATTGCATTTTAAATAGTTGATGTTTTTTATTATTGTTCATTGACAGTTTATTTAGTTAATACCTTTTTAATAGTGAATTTCTTTTTAGTTTTAATTCTTTTCACAATTCTATATCTAATAATAAAAATAACACAATTGATAAGTCTTCTAAATCTACGAAACTATTTCTACTTTTTCCATTAACTATTTATTTCTACAAAACAATACTTAGTTTGAGGAAATCGATAAAGCTAAAATATTTTCTTCATAAGAGCAGATCTTTTACCACAATTATCACAATAACAACTAGACTCGCCAAATGTATTAGTATGAATTCTAAGGTTTTTGTTTATTCTTTCATTTTTGAGTACTGACCCATCTTATATCAGTGTAGTATTTCGTTTAAATCCACATGAAGGTAATGGTTTTGAGTATATTTTATGATTTGAATAAATTCTTCTTTATTGCTTAATTTATATAAGAGATTGATTCATTAATTAAATAATGAGCAAAAGTAAAAATGTTTNCGTTTGAATTATCTTAATCTGCAAAGTATAATATTGCTTCCTTTAAACAATTATTTGGATCTTTCAATCTCTCTAATTTCTTTATTAAATTTCTCCATTACACAATTTAATCATATTAATAATTCTTATCAGCCTTATTCAATACATCATCAACTATTGTATCTATTAACTTATGTAAGTCTTATCTTATTTACAATATGTCTCCTGTTTAATGAGTAGCTATCTCGTTTGCCTTACTTGCATAACCTTTATAAACCTATGATAATGTACTCTCTATTGAGTCAACTAATATGTTTATATTATTAGATTATTACTATAACGAGAATGTTAATGAGGATGTACCTTAATACAATCTTCACATAATGGCATCAAACAAGATGGTTCTTTACAAAAATGACGAATGTACTAAGGATGATATATGCATCTAGATTAAGGAACCTCTTTAAATTGATAATCTGAACTTATTTTTACGGGCTATTATTGATCGTTAATTGGTTAAAGCACTTACATTTATTTATTAATAATTATATAATATTATCAACTGATCAAGTTTTATTTATTTATATATTTACTACCACTATAGATTTTATTTTATTCAATCGTGATATTCAATCTCTTTCAATTACTTTAACATACATTATAAACTTAGTAAAAACACAATTTTTATTAAAAATATAATCATAAACCTCTAAAAGAGGAGGATATTTTGAAATCATATAATGATTACATCGGAGAGTGATGAACAGTATGAGGTTTCGAATTTTTTATTATAAATTATTTTATTGGACTCTCAAATTAAGGAATAACAAATAATTATCTTAAATTCCTTCTTCCTTTCAGTAAAGAAGTGTATGAATTCTTTTAATCTTTGCTTTTAGGTTTCATTCTCTTTGATTATTGAGTTGAATCCACTCTAATTATTTGCTTCAGTTCCATTATTGCATTTTAAATAGTTGATGTTTTTTATTATTGTTCATTGACAGTTTATTTAGTTAATACCTTTTTAATAGTGAATTTCTTTTTAGTTTTAATTCTTTTCACAATTCTATATCTAATAATAAAAATAACACAATTGATAAGTCTTCTAAATCTACGAAACTATTTCTACTTTTTCCATTAACTATTTATTTCTACAAAACAATACTTAGTTTGAGGAAATCGATAAAGCTAAAATATTTTCTTCATAAGAGCAGATCTTTTACCACAATTATCACAATAACAACTAGACTCGCCAAATGTATTAGTATGAATTCTAAGGTTTTTGTTTATTCTTTCATTTTTGAGTACTGACCCATCTTATATCAGTGTAGTATTTCGTTTAAATCCACATGAAGGTAATGGTTTTGAGTATATTTTATGATTTGAATAAATTCTTCTTTATTGCTTAATTTATATAAGAGATTGATTCATTAATTAAATAATGAGCAAAAGTAAAAATGTTTATTATATACATTAAAAATTTATCAATTCATATAATTTTTTATATAGATTAATAACTCTAACTCATAAACAATAAATTGATTATAGAAAGTGAGCCAAAAGAACTAGAAGATTTAGAAGAATTAAATGATATTGAACATCAGGAGGATAATTTAGATGATTTGGATAAGATAATTACTTATATTAAAAGTAAGACTTATATAATAATCAAATAAGAGGAGGATCATGTTCCAAAGGTCCAAAAACCTTACGAAATAAATATTGGAATTATTGAAAGACCAGAAGTTGTAGATGATTTCATATGTAACTTCCTGATAAAAAATTAAATGAATAAAAGTTTGGAAGTGTTTCAAGTATATAAAGATAGAGAATTTAGTAGTAAGAATGGTATGAACATTCTCAAAAAGGTAAGTTGACAACAGATGGAATGGAATAGGTGCCAGATGTTTATATTCAAAACGAGAAATCGAAAGAAGAATTGAAGATATTTGAAGGGAGAACTTGATAAAGCCAGAATAAAATTGCAGAGAATGCTAAATCAACATATGATAAACTAGGAAAAGAGAGAGATTTTCATAAAATGCATCATCATAGAGTTTAATAGGAGAAAAGACAAATCAATCAAGATTTAGATAAATTAAAGGGATTAAAATGAAACTAAATATGAAGAACTATAATAAAAGTATTCCCATTCAATTAAAGAAAAGATGTTATTAAAATTAGAGAGAGATCAATTGATTGCTAAGAATGATGCTCTTTAAAGAAATATATAAAATATAATCAATCAAATTTAATTATATTTAGGTCGATAAGAAAATAAATAAGGAAAAAGAACCAGGGAGTCCAACAGATAAATTACCTATAGTAGATATAATGTATATAATTAAAATATGTAATATAATTATTCATTTAAAAATATTGAAAATATCTAATATAATTATTAATTTGAAAATATTAAAACAAATAAAAAAAAGGTTAAGCAAAAGCAAATATACCATTTCCCCCGATGATCATCCTAATCCTTATACAGGGATTTAAATAGAACCTCAAAATTATAGGAATGCGATATTAAATAAAATATATAAGGGTCATATGATGGCAATTCTGATGGAAATATGGACACTTCCATAAGGTGAGTTGATAATGTCAGGTGAAGGTCATAAGGATAGGGTTAGTGGAATACATTTTCAACCAAAAGGCAGTCACCTTGTTACTTCATCTGGTGATTGTACTATTAAAGTTTGGGATTTATTAATGCATCTTGTAATCATACTCTTAAAGATCATATATAGTCAGTATAAGGTGTTAAATTTAATAATACTGGTGATTTTATAGTCAGTGTAATTATGGATCATACATGCAAAGTATTCAGGTAAAACTAGACATTCTTTTAGAGAACATGCACAATATATATTATATATTAGGTTGATCCAGTTCATCATGTTAGCTTTTAACCTTTTTCTAATGTTTTTACATCAGCTTCTGTAGATAAAACCATTTCTCTATGGGGTATTAAAAGTGGATTATGTGTTTAAACATTCCATGGTCATTTAAATAGTGTAAATCGTGCAACTTTTTCTTTAAAAGGAGATAGTATTTGCTAGGTGTGATCCTGATGGAATTATCAAAATGTGGGATGTTAGAATGGTCAAAGGTAGATCTTAATTTGATGTGGGACCTTATTCTGCTAATGCTGTTGCCTTAGATAAAAGTGAAACTATCTTGCTTATTGGATCTGATGATCAATAAGTTAGACTATATAACGAAACTACCTAAAAGGTTATTTCAATCACATTATTTTTATTAAGAACATACACTCAAAGGACTTGAAGATGCAGTTTAAGATGTTGCTCTTGATTTTAATAGCAAAATGATTATAAGTTGTGGAAGTGATGCTACCTTTAGAACTTACTAATGAAAACCTTTCAATTTTTCTCTTTATGCTCTAAATCTATAAATTTATTTTTTGATAGAATAATTGAAATAACTATTTTATTAAATAATTCAAATAGAATCTATCTTTGAATCACCCTCCACCAAAATATTCGAATCGATCACTAGCTGGATAAATGTCAAAAGAATTTTATATGTGCTTTGTACCTTTGTTTTTTTTTATTAAGAGCATAATAGGAAAATAAAATTAACCTATATTACTAATCAACATTTTTCTAGAATTACGGAGTTTATATTATTTTCCAAACAATAATAGTAAGTTACCATTACAATGGGATTCTAGATTTCTATATATATTTAATTATTCTTCAAATTAGCTCTTTTATTTATCTTACTAATTAGGCTATTTATTAATTTCTAATTTCTATTCTTTTAATAAAATTTAAGATTAAATATTTTCATTTTAAGTTCTGTTATCTTCTATAGTTTCTTAGAAATCATAATAATTCTTCATAAATTAATAAATATATTATATATAAAACAGAATCTAAAATCAATCAAGTGTCATTAATTTTATAGTATTTTTTTAGAAATTATATTTAAGCAATTTTCTTAAAATTAAGACAAATTTTTAGAATTTCAGTCAATTTCAAAAAAAAATTTTAATTAACATCACATCCTCATTTGACCATGAATTTATGAAACTTTCCCATCATTTTTGAAAAATAGTTCAGATCAGATTTAATTTCTTGAATCTAAATAATTAATCTAATTTAGTTAGTATTTGATTCTTACATAAATTTTGAAAAACAATCTATATTAAAATTTGAATTCTAATCGAATAACAATATTATTTAGGAATATACTTTAATTAGTCAATTTTGTTTACATAAAGATATTGATAATTCTTCAAAGACGATAAAAAATATTTTTTCATTAAATTCTTCTTCAAGAATTACTAAAAAATAATAAAGGATATATAAGTAAATTTTCGATTTTTTCACCTTTTCTTATTTAAAAATTAAATTTAGGCTGCAATCTTCTTTTTGTTAAAACCAATAGTTTGCTAAAATTTTAATAATAATCCAAATTTTTTTGAAGGCTTTTATCATTATCTAAGTTTATAATCAATTGAATAAATAAAGTTCAATTTGATTTACTATAAAATAATTCACTATTAATTGTTAATTGAAGTACTTTAACAAATACATTAAATACTTTAATCTAATTTTAATATCTTCTTATCAACCACATTATTCTTTTATATTCTTTCTTAAAAATTTAAATGGCAACTATTTATTATTATTGACCAAATCCTCTCTGAAAAAATATGAAAATTGTAAATTTCCTCTTCCTCTTGAATCATTATTTATTTCTATCCCCTATTTAATATTCTTAACTTTCATCTTTTCTTAAATTCTTTTTCATCTTTCAGAATATACTTTATTTCTTCCTTTATAAATTATGATTCTGTGTCTAACTTTATAATTTTTTTAAAAAATTTTTGTTAATTTATTACATCTATATAGTTATACTTTGTTGCAATATCATGTTTGTTAAATTTAACTAGTACTTGAATTTTGTTTTATGATTTAACTTTAACTTTACTAAAATAATCTCTAAACTATTCCTCAATAATTTTTCTGATTTTTGGTTCAAATTTATCAGTAATTTCTTTAGTCGTTCTAAATATATTTTTTTCGAAGTTCATTTGTGTCTTGTGGGAATCTGTAACATTTATTGTCTTACAACTATTTAATACTTGAGAGAAAGTATCTATATGGAAAATCAAATTTTGCATTCATATTTAATTATAAATTATTATAAGTTCAAATCAAATGGATGCAACTAACGCAATTCATTAAATGTACATTAAATACCGTTTGCTTTCAAAAACTGTTTAACATGATTTTAATTTACTGTCAATCTTCCTTGACTTAACAATTTAAAAGCTAATTCTGCATTAAATTTATAATAACTCAAACATTTTAATTATTTTAGTTAAACCTCTAATATTCCTTAAAATAGTCTGCTTAAAACTTCAATTTTAATCTCTCCATTTTAATTAATTTTATCTATGTCAATAGAAATTGGAAGAATCATCAATTTCAGATCTTCCTCATCCAAAAACCCTTTATCTGATTTATCATAACAAGAAAATAAGCGTTTAGCCACTTCATTATTACATTCAAGTTTTAGCTTTTTAAGCATTGATAAAAATTCTTTAAAATTTAACTTTGATCCGATTAATTTTGAGATAGCTGCCCAATTTACATCTTAGGCTATCAAAATTTAATTCTTTAAATCAACCATCTGTCTCTCATATATTATAAATTCCTTCATTGCTGCAGCCAAATTCAACTATTCTTAAGGTTTAAGTCTAAAAATTATATCTCTCTGCATTTAGTCAATAAAAATTAATAAAATTAAGAGAAATCATGTAATCATACATAAGTGAGATAATTAATTTAAATTAATATGTTGCTGATAATTTCTTGAATTATAATATTAATATTAATAAATTAATATGGCTTCTTATGTTGCTAATTCGGTCCTTAATGATTCATTAAGATAAATGAAATCTAATCAAAAAGACTCAAAATAAAATGTTGATTGGGATGATTTCAATTATCCACCTTTGATAAAAGTTATTCATTACAATATTGATGAAGTTTAGCCAGAATATAGATTGGTGGTAAGATCATTATGGTTGTCAAGTATTCTCATAGTGACCTATACTCTCTTAAACATAATTGATAATTGCATTCAAGCTGGATATGGACTTGATGGAATACGCATTTTATATAGTTTTATGTTTTTGTTTTCCTTCAACCCAATATAATTGTAAAGTATTCTATATAGTTAGAGTTTTATTTTTTATCGAGGTTATAAAGGTGTGGTTTCAGATCCCTATCTATTAGTTTTGTATAAATGGGTCTAAATATTATTGATGATGTGTTGGATAACTTTTTCAATTGTAGGTATATTAGGTTTTAATGGATTTATTTTATTGCCATTCTTTTTTGATTTGTAAATTATTTTCAATAGTTTATAGTCTCCCATTTTGTGGGGTTTTAGCTTTATTTGAAGATATCATTTTATTATTTATTGTTTTTTTAAGTGGATTTGCTTTATTCCGTATCTGGAATATAAAAGAATGATATTAAATATATTTATTCATAAATTTTATTATTGGTTCAACTTAGAAAGATTTTTTAACTTCTCATTTTTAATTTCAAAAAAATAGAAGGAGCAAATCTTTATTTATTTAAATCAATAAATTATGGTTTCTAAATTCTATTTGTTTTTCTATGATTGATTATATTTATCAATAATAATAATTATATTTTAATAAAATGATATTTAATTTTTATATCCTAGAATATATACAATATCTATCAACATCAAACTCTGTATTCCATCACATTCCTTAATGGAAATGGATCCATCGTTTTACGTTCATTTTTATTTAATGTTTTATGTAATTTCTTCATTATAATTGTTTTCATTTAGACTAACACAGAATATAGTTAAAGTGTCAAATTAACAACCAAAACTGACAATAATATAGCTATATGAAACCAACCAAGCAGAACTTTTCTATCTTCACCAAAATAAGCTTTCATTTCATTCCAATAAAATGAAACTGTGAAGCAAAAAATTAAAACACTACTCTCCATAACTAAGAGATTAAAATACTCTGATTTATTCTGATATGGTCTAAAAAAAAATACATATATTAAGTAAAATTAGCTGACTAGAGATAGTAAAATTGATTAAATTTACTAATTTCGTTAAAAAAAAACTAAAATTCCAACAAATAATAGTTTTTTTGAGAGTAAAAATAAATTGAATTACTTGATCCAATATTTAGATAAAGATGTTGCTTGATTTTCTTTTAAAAAATGAAATGATATTATAATTGCACAAATATATAAGATTAAATAAGCTAAGATAACTGAAATTATAGATCTTGCATTTGTAAACGATTATGAACGGATTTATAAAAATGAGATAAAGAGTAAATCCCAGCAATTTGTCAATAAAAATTATCTCAATCCATCTTTTTCAAACTCTTCTTTAATTTTATAACAGCTGCTTTAAATTTTCAAGAACAAATTTGCAATATTTAAACCAAATTATAAATAATGAGCATTTTCTAGTCCTCTAAAAATTTAGATTAACACTAAGCAGCTTAAGTATGTAAATATTAATAATAAACTTAAAAATATTTAGGTTTAAATATTACTCAAAAAATCAGCATTAATTTTATAAGAGAGCAATTTTTCATATGATTCTACATAAGTTGATTAATTTAATTCAAATGTAATTTCTTTAAATTTAAATAATTCTAAAAAAGGTTAGATTGTTATAATGTTGCTTGACTCAAAATAAATGTATAAATTAATTGGAAATACAACATTTATGAATCTAAGATATGATTATTATTGTAATGCTTCAATAACACCCCTTAAAATAAAGGAGTTTCCAAGAAGTAGCACTAAAATACTTGCTGCACCCATAGAGTTCATGACATAAATTCCAACATTTTTTAAAATTAGAGCAGATTATTATTCTTAATCATCAATGNTTAACTTCTCATTTTTAATTTCAAAAAAATAGAAGGAGCAAATCTTTATTTATTTAAATCAATAAATTATGGTTTCTAAATTCTATTTGTTTTTCTATGATTGATTATATTTATCAATAATAATAATTATATTTTAATAAAATGATATTTAATTTTTATATCCTAGAATATATACAATATCTATCAACATCAAACTCTGTATTCCATCACATTCCTTAATGGAAATGGATCCATCGTTTTACGTTCATTTTTATTTAATGTTTTATGTAATTTCTTCATTATAATTGTTTTCATTTAGACTAACACAGAATATAGTTAAAGTGTCAAATTAACAACCAAAACTGACAATAATATAGCTATATGAAACCAACCAAGCAGAACTTTTCTATCTTCACCAAAATAAGCTTTCATTTCATTCCAATAAAATGAAACTGTGAAGCAAAAAATTAAAACACTACTCTCCATAACTAAGAGATTAAAATACTCTGATTTATTCTGATATGGTCTAAAAAAAAATACATATATTAAGTAAAATTAGCTGACTAGAGATAGTAAAATTGATTAAATTTACTAATTTCGTTAAAAAAAAACTAAAATTCCAACAAATAATAGTTTTTTTGAGAGTAAAAATAAATTGAATTACTTGATCCAATATTTAGATAAAGATGTTGCTTGATTTTCTTTTAAAAAATGAAATGATATTATAATTGCACAAATATATAAGATTAAATAAGCTAAGATAACTGAAATTATAGATCTTGCATTTGTAAACGATTATGAACGGATTTATAAAAATGAGATAAAGAGTAAATCCCAGCAATTTGTCAATAAAAATTATCTCAATCCATCTTTTTCAAACTCTTCTTTAATTTTATAACAGCTGCTTTAAATTTTCAAGAACAAATTTGCAATATTTAAACCAAATTATAAATAATGAGCATTTTCTAGTCCTCTAAAAATTTAGATTAACACTAAGCAGCTTAAGTATGTAAATATTAATAATAAACTTAAAAATATTTAGGTTTAAATATTACTCAAAAAATCAGCATTAATTTTATAAGAGAGCAATTTTTCATATGATTCTACATAAGTTGATTAATTTAATTCAAATGTAATTTCTTTAAATTTAAATAATTCTAAAAAAGGTTAGATTGTTATAATGTTGCTTGACTCAAAATAAATGTATAAATTAATTGGAAATACAACATTTATGAATCTAAGATATGATTATTATTGTAATGCTTCAATAACACCCCTTAAAATAAAGGAGTTTCCAAGAAGTAGCACTAAAATACTTGCTGCACCCATAGAGTTCATGACATAAATTCCAACATTTTTTAAAATTAGAGCAGATTATTATTCTTAATCATCAATGTACTTTGGTAGATTCAATCTTACACTATCTCTTTGATTAATTAAAGGAGCTTCATTTTAATTATACAATTATTCATTTAATATAACTTCAAGGATAGGAGGAGATGACAAAGTTGTATAAAAGACAATCTCTACTGTATATTCTACAAATGAACAAAATTGTTAAGCTTCTTAAACAATATTCAAAGTAATATTATAAAATTCCTGATCAACTTCAATTAAACTGAGTTCTATATAATCTGAAAATTTAATATTATCCATAACTTAAACTTATTGATCAAAGTACAAAGATACATATTATATCTAATAATCTTATTTTATCAATGAAGCCTTAAATTTAGGATACTTTTCATAAGTACATTAAGAAAATGTATATGAATAATTCTTACAAACGTAGTTAACTTCTATTTTGCATTCTTTTGAGCAACCATCTCCATCTTCTTTATTCATATCATCACATTCTTCTTCAATTGAGACCAATCCGTTACCACAATATGTCATGCATTAGTTTTGATTTTTATGTAGCTCATAGCCTTATTCACATAATTTACATTTTTCCTCTATACAAGTTTCACAATGATCTGGGCAAAGAAATTTACAATTATGGCATCCATCAGTTAAATCATCATTCTGATCATCACAATCCTCTTAAACTACTGTGATTCCATCTCCACAAAGGGGCAAACATTCATTTTCAAATTCATAGAATCCATACTCGCATGGGTCTTAACAAACTCCTTTTGTACATTGATAACAATATTCTCTACATTAATAATTACATTCATAGCAACCATCATATGGGATTAAATTCATATCATCACATTATTCATATCCAATAGTAACTAATCCATCTCCACAGATAGGAAGACAAATTTAATCAATCAATGTAAATGTATATTCACAATTATAACAAACTCCATAAACACAAGTATCACAATAAGGGCCACATTCTAATTTACATTCATAACAGCCATCAAATTGTACATCATTAAAATCTTCACATTCTTCATTAGTAATTAAAGCAATTAAAGTATCTCCACATATAGGTTCACAAATAAACTGATCATTTAAATGCCAACCATATATACAATCTAAACACATCCCTCTAAAACAATATGAACATTCTCTTTAACAATCATTTTTACATTTATTACATCCATCAAATCTAATAAAATTCATATCGTCACATTCTTCTAATCCTTTAACTTAATTATCTCCACAATCAGATTAACATTTTTAATTTATTAATTTCCAACCTGCAATACAATCATAACATATTCCAAATTTACAATCTGAACATTCATCTTAACAATCGAATAAACATTAATTACAACCTAGAGATTATTTAGAATCTTTGTTAATATCACATTCTTCATTTCCTTTAATAATTAAATCTCCACATATAGGGATACAAATATCATTAGGTTTTTCTAATATCCATCCGTCTAAACAATCTATGCAATTTCCATTTTCTTATAATTTA